ATAAAATTGAAGCATATAAGTACAAAAATCATTCCAATTAATTAATCCTGTTTCTTTTGAATTCAACTAGATTAATGAAAATCAAAAATATAATTTTGATTTTTCTTTTTGTATGAAAAAGTTTTATTTTATAAATATACTTTATCAAATAATTTCTCTAACAATGGTCCATATTGAGTTAGATCTAATATAGACTCAAATGCTTCAATAAATTCTTCTTTAGTTAATGAAACTGAAAAATTAATGATATAGCAGAGGATAAAAAAAAAAAAAGAAGAAGGTGAAGTTCTTCTTACCAGATATTTTACCATTTGTTTTAGTTGAAATATTAACACTCGCTACTAATGAACGATTAAAACGTTGACGAAGAAGACGTAAATCTTCGACACGTAATTTTTTTTCAACATTTAATTCATCATCACTAAAAGATAAATATGAATACTTTTAACAATAATCTATTCTTCTATTTCTATATCTCATAATTGAATTTTTTACAGATATTCATCAAAAAGAAAATATAAACATTTATTATTCTTAATCCTTATCAATTCTATTATTAATTCTATCTTTCATAGTTGATAGAAAACCGAACGTAACGAATATTGATGAAGTATCAAAATTTTAGTCAATATAAACACATAAATGTTATCCAATATTATACATATCAATTACCTATCAATTTTAAGAAGCAGGCCATCATCATCATCAGGTGTATATATTCCATCGTCAGCAGATGAATTTAAATTAGTAGTTGTATCCATTACTTTTTATTATTTATTCTCTTTCTTCTTTGTTTAGTCGTTGCGATAAACAATATTTTTATTGTCGGTTAAATGTTGACAACATCATTATTATCGATAAAATTGTTGTTGAGATCAAGAAAAACAATTTTTTTTCTATTACCTTGCTTTTTTACGTTTTTTTTAATGTTTCATTGTTGCTTCTATGCATAGCATGTTGTCTTTGGCGCTCGTTTCTGTGGTTGTCACCTTGTTAACAACAGTCGTCACTTAGTTCACTTCTTTTGACAACAAAGGACAGAATTAAAAAAAGACTTTTGAATTGAAAAGAATAAAGAGAAAAAAAAATGTAAAGAAAAAAGTATATGTTTCTTGTAATGCATACAAAAGAAGAACTAAACAAACCAGAAATCAATATATAAATAAATCAAACAAGTAATACAAACAGTTTATAAGAGTGAAGTTTAAGCACTTCTTCTTTTTTTTCAATTATCGTTATTTTTCTTCATTGTACTTATTCATAGCATAATAATAATCTTGATAAATAAATCCATTGTATAGATACAAGTACAGATCAAAATAATACAAGTACTAATTAATAAATAGATTGAAAAATAACAATGAGAAGAAACAGAACCAAGTAATTCGAACTCGATTAACACAAATGATAAGAAAAGAAAAACAAAGTAAAACATATAGAATAGAATAGATTTTAATTGAGTTATAGACAACGTCATATCTAAGATATGGTTATATAGAATCATAATTACTGTAAGTTTCCTAGGTGAGAAATACAAATTTAGTGAGAATACTGATAATATATATTTATCATAAAAGTAATTCTTGGTTTTTGAAGCCAGCATCCGCGCCAGAATTACAGAGAGGTGAGTGTCAGCTCAATAACTCAACAACAGCAACAGCTATCGATCTATGATTTTCACTAATCGAAAGAGCATAACTCCAGACGGTTTCTTTTTGTCTGATACTATATAAGACAAAACTATTTTAAAACCTATCATTTTTGTAAAATATTCAAAAAATGCATGAAAACAGTGTTTCGTTTCGATGTAATTTTGATTTTGATATGTGTTTCAGGTAGAGGAAGTTCAGATCTATGGTTCAAGGCATGATTCACGCGACTATTTTCCCCTATGTCAATACTAAGCAAATCGAATCACGTGTTTATTCTGCAAAATTATATAGAATTCTGTTAAATTTTAGCAAATTTTTTAAATTTTTATTAAAATTTCTCTATAACGGAATGACATTTTCATGAATTTTTTTAAAAGTTTTACTCAGATTAATTCTATTATAAAGTATCGATTGGAATTTCATGAAATGAATAAATAGTATATTTTTCTGGAAGACAAACATATCATAAAGTGTGTGCGTGTCAAATTATAAGAAAGCGAGAGAAAAGAAAGTTATTTACAATGATGTACATATCATCAAAATTCCTTCTTAAGATTTATCAGTTAATACATGGCTTCGTTGACATTGGACATTATTCAATGGAAATGAGCCTCTTTTTCTTTTGAACATTTTCTCTAAGGATTTCAAACTTTTACATATTAATATCTTCTGGAATATATTAATAAAAATGCCAATCATGTCTATGTTGATTGACATTTTGATAAAAACACTTATCTACTCCATTTTCTTCTATATAAATAACTGTAATCTTAACATTATTGTTTATTTTCCTATTTGTCTCAAAATAATCTTTGACGTTAAGCTATCTACTATTCATTTTGTTTTCTCACTAGAATACATTGAAGAAAATAATAAAAGTAATGAAAAACGAACATCATAATCGTACTAATCTTACATACATCTTTGAATAATATCTTTAAAAAACCATATTACCTATTGAACAACGGAAGGTATTATCTGTTCATATTCATCGATGTTATGTAGAATAATTCTAAGAATTTCTTTAAAATCAGATGCTAAATAAAAAACACTTTTTTTATATCAGATCATCACTAACGATGATCTTATTAACTTAGTCTTTCTCAAATGCAAGTGTCATCAAATGAGCTGTCGTTGTTCAGAAAACCGATTAAATTTCAAGGTAACAAAGTAGAAAAGATGAAACATTTTTCAAAATGTACGATACTTTTCTCTCTTGTGATGCTCTCAATGACTTTTATATCAAGAAGACAGCAATAAGACGTCAAATTAAATACCAGTATTCATTCGAAATTTTTAATGTTCTACATTCAAGAATCATATCAACGTATAGAAGCATTAATCAGTCATCACACAATTATCCGATATACGTATTTGCATCAGCCAATGTATTGACAGTCTATCGATTTCTTTTGAAAAGACTAAGAAACTGATTCTCTCTGTTCAAACTGTATATTTGATGAACGTTATCACTTGATTTTCTACAAGTCAATGTGCATTTGAAAAAGTGAACGATACTGTCGAGTAACATATGCTAAGCGAACAATAGTATATTCAGAAAACAGAAATCTAATTTCAGGATACGCCTTCTTCCAAGTTTTTGAAAAACGGATCATCAGAAAAATTTGAAATTTTTAGAGCAAGTAGATCTTGACGAGTAGAGTCAAAGCTGTCGAATGATGTCTTCTATGTGATACCGGGATCAAAATAATTCTAAATTTCGTCCCCGGTTCTCCGAGATGCGATATGCTTCATCGAGCTGAAATTTTTTTCTTTTTACAAAAGCCAAAATATCGAAGGTATCTTTAACAACGCATGTTTTTTCTTGTGAGAGCTACCAAAAATTAGCAGAACGATATTTTTTGAAATGAAAAAAAAAAATACCCATCACGAACAGTGTATAGTATATGTGAAAAAAGTGTCAGCTCGATCGGATGTACTATATCATAGAAACGGGAGTGTTTCTACAGTTTTTTTTTTCATGAAAATATTCGTTTGAAAAAAAAATTCGAAATAATGTGATGCAGTTTTCGCTATTTCCGTTACGTAAATTTGTTTTTTTTTAATGTTTACAGAAAATATTTGGATCGCAAAATGTACTTAATAGATAGATACTACTTCAGACTATACAATAGCCATATAAACCAACAAAAATTTTCGATCACGCAAGGGAGAGAGGTACTTTTAAGGTTAGGGACGATTATTCAACTATTAATTATTTTTGTTCTACTGTAACAGTCAGTCATTACATCAACAAAGATATAAAGTTGACAAAATCTCATGGATGTAGCGAATTATTTGCATGCATGTTGAATAACTTTAAAATCGGAGTAGACATAGAAATTTGTCAAACAAGAAAAAATTTAACTAATTGATGAAAGAATTCATGAATGTGTTCAATAACTTTAAATCAATTGATTAAACCTAAATTTAATTGTTATAAGGAAGATAGAGAGAAAGATTATGACCATGTTAACAATAGAATAGCTTTTATTATATTCTTTTCTTTATTTAATTTTTATTTCTTTGTCAAAAAAACTGTCTCATACACTTGAGTATATTATTCGATAATTATAAAAAATGTTTTTTTAGTTTTTTTTTTTTTGTTCTTTAATACATTGAGATTATTACACACTTCAAAAATATCTTGCTTCAGATAAAAATCTCAAAATCTGATTTTTTTGACAGTTTTGTGCACTTTTTTTTTTTAATTAAAATTTGTTTGCCATAATAAATTAATTATCTATTATAATTTTTCATGTCTGCTTCTCTATTGACACAGGTTACAATAAAATAACATCTAGAAATTTGTACAATGTCCATTATTTGTATCAAATTGTTATTATATTTTTAATTCTTTTACTGAATAAATCTGCTTGAAAATGACATGAATTCCACATGCGAGTAATCCAAATGTCAAATTGCTTTTATAACTTACTTTTTTTTCTATTTTATTAAAATCTATTAATTGTATGTTTTATAAAAAAAATTCTTCTCTCATCTTTTCTTTTAATACGTCCACTGAAAAATAAAATAGATATAAGAGAAACAAGTTTATCACTTCTTCTATCACTATTATCCATATATGTTTAATTCTATATTGTTTTTTGCATTGAAATACATTTATAAATTTTTTCTTTCTAGGCTATTGAAATAATAGTAATTTAAACGAGTGATAATAGAGAACATTTGCCTGTTCTATCACCGTCAAAGGCAGATAATTTAAAAAAAACGAAAAACTGTCAATATCATTTTTTCATCTAAAAACAGTTAAATGGAACGTGCTAAACGACTTTTTCTAGATCTAAATATGTCATTATCCAACATTCATTGAATCAACAATAAAGAATGTCTACGGATATTGTATTAATCTCATCTCTTAAGTTTGCAACAATGCAAATCGATCGACATGTTGCATTATTCGTACTTCTATTCGGATCTGTAGGCAATCTTCTTAATATTTGGATATTGAGCGAACGCTCATTAAGTGATAATCCATGTTCAACTTATCTCTGGTGGTCTTCTCTTGCAAGTGTCATTTTTATTTGGTCATGAATATTAACTCGAGTACTTCAAGGGTATGTAACATATAATTTGCTAAAATATTCAAATAAAGAGAATCTGTGATATTGTCACGAATAATGATTATCTTCATTAGATGATTTGTTTATAGAAACTTACAATCAAAGTTTAAGAATTAAGTTTGATATTCATTAGTAATTTTTTATCGATTTTTAGCTACAGCATCAATTGGCCAAATGAAAATCAATCTCTCTGTAAAATTCGAATTTTTATTTTAACAGTATGTTTTTCAGTTGCTGCATGGACTCTTGTTGGTGCTAGCAGTGATCGATATCTACGCAGTAGTATTCTAGTTAAATTTCGAAATTTAAGCACGGTTCAAACAGCAAGACGATTTTTAATCATTATTATTACTGTTTCTGTTCTAATATTCCTAGAAGTTTTCTATTGTTATGAGGCAAGTGTGCCTAATGTTCCTGTAGCTTGTTATTCTTTAAGTCTACCATGTCGATTATATAATGATTGGATGCTTATTTTGATTCCTACGGTTATACCAAGTGGTCTCATGGCTATTTTTGGTTCATTAACAATTCGCAATATTCGAACACGATTTGTTCAACCAGTAATGCATGTAAAATTTTCCAGTAATACAACACAGCATAATTTACGATTGCAATTAAATGATCGTAATATCAGTCGTATGTTATTGATTCAGGTTAGTTTCGAATTTCGTTTTTTTTTTGCATTGAATAATATTTTTCGATTATTTTTTGACTAAAGCTCTCACATTAAATATTTGATTACTCTGTAATCAGAAGAGTTAATATTTTTGAAATGTTTCAATTATTTCTACAATAAATATATATGTATATTTGAATGAATATATAGGTTTCAGTTGTTCTTCTTATGAATTTACCAGTTGCAATTCAACGTCTGTACGCCAGTTTAACAGCAAACTTTCCGAAAACTGATCGTCATGTAGCTATTCAAAATCTAATTTATTCTCTGGTTGTTTTAGTTTCTTTTTGCTCTTATTCGATATCATTTTATTTATACATTCTAACTGCTTCAATATATCGTGCAGCACTAAAACGTGTTGTTCGTCGTTTATTACGTCGAATTGGACTGTTGCATTAAAAATTAAAGGATTATGAATTCAAATCTATATATGTTTTGTTTTTGGCTTTTGTCTGTGTTAGTTATACTACATAGTATTTCCAGCTACCAATTTCAATGTATTATAGTACAAATAAAAGATGCCAAAAAAATATATATGCATTAGAATCTTCTCTTTCGTACTATTTTTTTTTCAAGAAATCAAACGTACGATGAGGAACAAATAATTTTCTTATTGTCAACTGTCAAATAAAGTACGGTCATAGATGATAATAATAAGAAACCTACGTGACTATGATCGTGGCTAAATTGTAGATTTCTATATATCAGTCAAAAAGAAAAGCTGATGATAAATATGAAGACGATGAGATGAAGATTATATTTGTAAGAAAGACAAAATTAATGACGGAAATCAATATGAATCCTTAAGTGATGATTATAAAAGCGAAAGAGAAAGCTAATGATCGTCAGATTAATAGTAAAGTTATGATTTATACTAAATAATCTTGTTCCCGTTATATCATTGTTTTTTGTGTTAATTTTAACTATGATTAAATATAAAAATGAACATAATAAAAAGTTTCGATTGTTTTATTTCAGTTAAAATAAAAGTGAGATATCAGTGGCGGATTTCGAATTTTGGGACAAGAGGATGATCATGGTCACAAAACGTATTTTGAAGTCTATTAGAGATCGTATTGGCTCATTTTTCACCATTTTCTGGTGAGAAAAATCGATAAATTTTTCGAAAGAGATACAATCACATTCTCTAAATCTGCCACTATGAGACATATATTTTTCATTTATTCGCTCAAATATTATCTATCAATGTCATGAAAATTTTTCAAATTTCGTCACAGACACGCGTAACCAACTTGCAGATCTTTAACAGTAATAATGAAAGCTAAATTGTTATAGCTTCAAAGGGTCTTGTTGGACAAAATGATCACCGTTCATTTGAAAAGCTACCTGTACTGTTTTGTAGAGCAATTCATGCTGGAGCTAATGGTACATATATAAAAAATTGTTTTCTTCATCAAGTTTTTATATTCTGAGGAACCATATACCAGTTAAAGAGTTATTATAGAAATCGTAGATGATCTGATCAAATATTAGAACTTAGGATGTGACAAAATCAAGCTATGTTAAATTTTGTTTAAAGTTACTTCAATAGAGTTTTGTCTTGTCTTCAATTCTGTATATCTAATAATACTCATAATAGCTTTCTTCGTATCCAAAATCTTTGAATTTTTATTAGGTTCTGTAATTTTTGTTTTTTTTATGATGCTTTAAATTTTTCGATATTGCTTCTCAGGACAACAGCGATCAATCATGGAATTTTCTCAGAAACTGTGTATCATCGAACTCTATAAGTATATCAATTAATTGTTATCTGAATTGATATACGTCAAAATCAAAGTGACCTATCAATGCCTAAACAGGACCAATTTTCCGACAGAAAAGTATTTAAACTTTGTAATAAATACTTTTTGAATGAAAAAGTTTCTATCTACTAATAATAAGTTCATCATGTCCTATCATTTGACATCTATGAATCTTTCGAAAATGACAAAAAAATTTCTTGCCTTCAGACGTCTCGAAAGGATCCGAGAATATCCAAAACTTGTAATTTTCATAAGAGAACGAACATGTATTGAATGTAATAGAACTCCATACTCTAATCACATCCAGCTACTCAGAAACGAAATTCATAAGAAACAAAATAAAATAAAAACTAATATTTGTAATAATCCATCCTCGTACGTCCTCAAGAGATCTTAAAGCAAGAGATTTTTTTATCATTTTCGAAAGAGTCATATATATCAAATGATAGAGCATAATGAACTTATTATTAATAAATAAGGCATTGTTTGGCTGATTTGGCCATGACACACATCAATTCAGAGGACAACCAATTAGTATACTGATAGGGCTTGATGACATATGGTTTCTAAGAAAGTTCCACGATTGGTCACCTTTGTCCTCAAGAACAATATCCAAAAAGTTTAAAACATCATAAATGCTATTATATCTCCTAACCGATATATGGCTTCTCAGAACATAAGAACTTAATGAAAAAGTAATTTTCGATATGCCATTCGATGCGACACGAGTTGCTCTACAAAATGATATAGATAACTTTTCCAATATAGGATGACCATCTTATTTGATAAGATCCTCTCTATTTGATCAATCACAAAATCTTAATAAATGATGATAGTATTTTATTAATTCATTAAAGTAAATTCTCAGTAAAATATGACGCGATAGCATTCAACATTCTTGGTGTCATTTGCTTTTTGTTTTTCTTGTAGTATTCTTTATTGTTGTTGTTCCATCAATTCTACTGTAGACATATAATAAAAAAAAAACAAACGATAATTTGACAACTCCACATTAATACAGAGTTCATCAGTTATAATCATATTTGTTCATTTACAATATATATTAAAATAGTTTTTTTTTTAACAATTATACAAAGTTCGATTTAAACAATGGTTTCATATACTCGTTTATTTAATTGTTCGACAAGTAATAATGGTGTAATAGTTTCGTCGACTGGTGGAAAAGAAATAATTTCGAGTTTAGGTGATTTTTCTGGTTCAGGTGTGTATGTTACTGGTAATACTAAAAATGATGGTTTATTTTTCTTTCTTTTATTTATATCATCTGATAGTACTAATGATGATTTCATGGATATTTCTGTTTCCAATTGATGAATACGTTTTTGTAATATTTCAATATGTTTTTCTAATTTTTTTTCACGTTCAGTATTATTATGATTATGTTTATTATTAGTAACTATCATAGGTTCATAATCCTTAAAGTTTTCATAGAATATTAGAAAGAAAAAAAGAATTTTTTTTTCTTACTTCATGGCTTTCATTTTCATTATTGGCCTGTTTTGATCGAGCAACAAAACGTGAATATAGACGTTCACAAATAAGAATAACAGTGGCTATAAGGGTACCACCAAAAAGAAGTAAAAAAGCTGAAGTAAAATTCCTTTCCTAAAATTAAAAGTCTATATATATATATATATTAAAAATAAAAAAATCTTACATCTAATTTTTGACTACTTCGATGTGGCTGTTGATCTACACTGGATTTACAAGCGCCTAATATTAAAATAAATAGTATTCTTTATTTAATAAAAAAACAAAAAAGAAGTGATTTTCATACCAGTAAACCAAAATTGTCGAAGACGTTCAATTTCACCAGAATAATGCATTTGAATAATTTCTTTATTAATCATATCTTTAAATTTTGATTGTTTTGGAAATCCAATACCATAACCAGTCATTGCATACCAATTTCCAACAACACGTAATTTACATTTATCATCTTGTCCACTTAAATAATCGAGTACAACTGCATCATATAAAAATGCATGTAATTCTCTACAATAATAATAAAAAAAAAAGCAAGAAGATTAAAATAGAAAGAAAAAAAAATTTTTTTTTTACTGTGATTTTAAAGCTTTGATTCCTTCAGAAACATTTCTTTTCATAAATTGTTTCATATATGCATAAACTTCTTTATGATTAGTTTTCACGACTTCATCGGTACTCTTAAAAAAAGAAACAACAATAAAGATTATTTCTATAAATAAATATTCATTTTTATACTTTCAACCGAATGATATATAAATATTTAGAGTTGTAGAATGTAATGATGTAACTAGATATGGACAAGATGATCCCACTCATATCTAGATGGGACAAAGATTCGTCGGGTAGGTCTCGGACTCGATGAGCTCCAACCTTTTCCAAGCAGAACTTAACTGTTCGTAGGTAGGCTCAGAAGTTCGTACAGTGGCTGAACTTCTTCTAGGTCCTGTCTGATTACACCACCGGTAGAATTTTTTAAAGATGTGTAACGATACATTTGTCCTAGTTCAAACTTTCAAGTGTCTCTAGATGACTGTAAGGCTTATCTATGGACAAAAATTCTGCTCTAAATTCGATCATTCAGATTCTTAGCGATTTTAAGCTCATAGTTCGACCGGTAAAAATTGGAAAATCAAAGCAAAACATACTTTTTCACTACTCTCTAAGTTCAAAAGGATGTTAATAGTGACATATAGAAACATTTCTTGGTTAGCGAAGTTCGAACGACTTTTCAGTGAAGATTTATTGCGATCATACACAAAGATTCTACTATGATCAATCTATTCGTAAAAGTGGAACTAATGTTAACTGATAGAAAGTATATATCACAATCAATGTTCTTTTTTTTCGAATTATATCATAAACTTATCGATAAACTATCGTATGTAACACTTATAATTGCTATTTAGATTGTTGGAAGAAAACGGTCAATTATGTTATAAACGAAGTATATGTTTTGATCTTTTGTTTTTTGATAAACACCGATATTTTTCGATGTCAATCAATTCCACTAATTATTTTAATTTTTCATGAAAAACTCGACTGAAAAAGTACTTTTTGTAAAAAATTTTATTTTTAAAGGTCTTGATTACTGCGTCATAAATCTTTGTTTTCTTCTTTTTTTTTATCTATGAATGCATGCTCAATAAAATCGTGTACAATTCGAAAGATCAAAAATATTTTCTCTGAATTAATATTAAATAGATTTTTATTCCATTTGTAATATTATATCAAATAATAAATGTATCGTCTTAATCTCATTTATTTTTCTTATATATTCCTCAAATTAAAATGTCATTTTTTTTTTGTAATGGTAATGTCTATGAATCTAACACAAAATACAGGCACTTATAAGATTCGAATTATAAAAGACAAAAAAAAAATCAAGCACAATTACTCCATTTGCAATAGTTCCAAAACGGAATGGTGGTTTCATTGAATGAGGATTGGTAATCTAGAATTTAAAAGAATTTCTATCAAAATTAATTCAATTTCAAAAAAATTCTTTTTTTTTTTGGAATATAAAACATACGCGATAATCAGTTATACCCGATAGATCAAAATACTCATCTTTTGTAATCATAAAAGCCGCTATAACATGTGAAAAAAAAGAATATTTATAAAAAATAATCAAATAAGATATAATACAAACCTAAATTAGCTGTATAACTAGCTGTAAATGCTAAACAAAAACATGCCCAAACATTAGCCATAAATTTTGATGTAAAACCTTTTGGATTATTGACTTTTGCCGGTGCTCGAAATAAGATAACCCAACTGAGCCAAACAGATTGAAAAAATGTTATATTCAAATCTATATATCAAATCATATTTAAAATATTAATACAAAAAAAAAAGAAAACTAAATATCATATTAAAACCTTTTTTTCTTTTAGCTCGAAAAAGATCGAATACATGTTGCCATGATGTATTACAAACTACTTGTCCATTTTGTGTATCCTATTATTCAAAAGTCAAAAACAAAAACAAAAAAAAAAGATAATTATTGGCAATAAAATTTTCATACATGATGAATAGCATGTGTAGTAAATCTTTTTTGAAAATATTCAAATAGAAAAACCGTTATTGCAACTCCATGAAGTGTTACTAATAAAATAAGAATCCATATTCGATAATCATATGGTTCTAGAAAATGAAAAAAAAAAATATTTCAATTTTACCTTTTTTTTTAACAAACAAAAAATAAAACTTTGACTTACTAAGAAATGCTGTGGTTGAAATAGCACCTGGTCTTAATGATACAATTAAAGCAATACCCGTTTCCATCAACGGAACACTAAAATCAATAGCTAAATTTCGTTCTGTAGTTACTTTCAATGATGTTAATGTTAAATCAGCTCGATTGTCAAGAAGTTCAGCTATAAGACCATTCCATTTATTCTAAAAAAAATAAAGCAGAAACAATAATCGACTATATTTATTCTATAATCATATGTTTACAGTTATTGGATTTCGTCCACCCCATGTTCGATCAGGAACTTGATAAAGTTCAAATTGAAATTTAAGTCGATCTTTAAGTATATTAAATATATCAATATAAAATCCTGAACAACATTGATAATGCAGTGGATCACTATGATTAGCACCTCTAAATATATTTAAAAATAAATAATCAACGAACAAAAAACAAAAAAAATTAAAAGAATTCTTTCTTACGAATTTTCTGGTCCAATACGACAAATAACTGAACCTGGTTGACATTGTCCATCAATAGATGGATCTTTAAGCATAACAAATGGATGTTCTTCAAGTGTTACTACTTTTAAATAATATATAATAGGTTTGCCTGGCGGTGGTTTTGATCGTCCACCTGGCCATTGAATATCAGCTATTGTAAGTGTACTATTTACATATTCACCAACCTATGAATTAAAAATTTTATAAAGAAAAATATTCATAAAATTAAATTTATACTTCTTTCCATTCTTTAGCTGGTGATTGAAAGTTTAATACAGAATAATTAGCAGCAACAGCTAAACCATCTTGTTGAAAAATTCCATATGCACGTTTAAATTCATCTTTTAATAAACTAATTAAATAAATATAGAAATCTATTAAAGAATTTTATTTAAATTAAATATTTACTAATAAAGATCAGGATATTTATGTTTTAAAATTAATTGATTTAATGATTTATCAGTATTAAATAATCGAAGACATGTTAATCGATCACGAATTGAAGAACGTCTAGGTATTGTCACATTTGTATTTAATTGTTTTATTTCATCCAAATGTGTAATTTTAGAAAAAACATTTATTAAAATAGGACCAATATATTTATCAAACCGAGCAAGAACTGTATCTTTAATTTATTCATAAAAGCAAGAAAAAAAAATTAAACGAAAATTTCTTTTGAATATTTAAACAAAAAGAATATTTTTTTTTACCTCGAGTAACATCATTGTGTAATGCTAGAAAGAGAAAAGAAGGATTATTTTATGTTGAATGACAGGTGATACAAAAGTTTTTGAACAAAATGTTTCTTCATTTTTTCGACCGATTATAAGAGTTAGCAGAAAATTTAAAGCATTTCCTTACAATCAGAATTTTGTACTTTTCCCGAATAGTCTGAACAGAAGTAGTTGAACTAACAGATCTAAAAACAGTACATCTGATCTCATAGGTTGCCACAACTCGCGGCACAACTATCGAGAATCATCTCGCACAGTAACGAAGTAACTATGAGTGTAGCTATGGCTGAAGAGCAGATAAACACTTGTACTCACACCCACATTCTTTGTTACTGTGTGATAACCCTCGGCGATTCGCAAACATATACTTGTAACGATCATAAATTTCTGATCCTAATCCAACCAGAGATGTGCACCGTGCCTAACGATAATCGAAAGAATTTTTCTTTCATCAATTCTTCCCTCGTATTTGTTGCCGTATAGTATTTCTCAAAAGACTAGTACTTCATTTCTCGACATTTACAACAACATACACTTGAAAATGCCACGACAGGAATCTTTAATTAGGCAAGATTTAACCGTACATATATATACTTATAGGGTGTTCCTTTCGGTCTTAACTTATTTCGTAATTAAATTTACACAAATTTAAGCTTCAGATGCAATTTATATTATTATCGTCAAAATGAAATTCACTAAGCGCTGAGTTAGGTCGATTTGTTATTGGAATAATTTTTAATCAACATCGATTACAGTTTAGTTTATAAGCACAGCAAACGATATTTCAGAATGAATGCATCTAATGTACAGCTGGTATGAATAAAGCACGGTTGTCCAGTCACTGCGCTCTAAATTTTCTGCTGATTCCGACAATCGGTTGATAAATGAAGAAACACGTTGTTCAAAAAAACGTTCGCACTATCTGTTAGAGAGAAACAAAAACTTGCAAACCTAATGTGCCAGTATAAAAATCTATTTTTCGTCGATTTGGTTTATCATAAGGATTCATTTTTGGTTCAGCTCCACTACTATATGTTGCTATAAATACGAAATATAAGATTTCAATAAACTTTGTTTTTGTTTTTTTCGAAACTTACAAAGTACAATCGATGACATAATCCACATATATTCAGCTCCAGTAAGACTTATATTACTTGCTTGTTTAACAATTGCTGATGCTAATGTTCTAATTAAAATTAGAAAAAAAAACAAAGTTGCAAAGATAAAAGAAAGAATTTCCATACGATGTTGTATGAACAATAATAACACGTGTTTCAGCGTTCATAAATGATAATTGTTGTTTTATATGTATCGGATTTGTACTAGTCATATGAATTTTTGAAAGTATAGTTAATCTAAACAAAAAGAAGAAAAAAAAATTCTTATACAAATTCAATCTGTTCTTGATAGTCATATCATGTTCTTTTTTTTTGTACAAAATACTCATGGGAGCAACGAACTCATTGATTCGCATGATTGATATTTTTTTTCTAATATCTCAATCCCAGTTGTCTACGAGACTTATAATGAATCTAATGTTTTTCTTGCGAATTAATGAAGTTAATTTTGATTCAAATTAAAAGTTAGAAAGAAAAAAAAGTGTTTGATATAATGATCAAGAAAAAGAAAATGTTTAATATATTTACTTTTTTTGTCCTTTCAAATGATTACGATTACAAAAGGTGTTTTTACTAAAAATAAATTCTATTGATATTAATAAAAGAAATTTTATTAAATAAATTTTTACCAATTTCGTTGTTCATTTCCATGTGTTTCAAATTCATCTGTAAGTTCTTCTTCACCTGGTAAATTTGGATCAATAATTAATGAAAATGTATTCCAATCATATCGTTCCATTAATGATATTAAAGCTCGTGCTTCTTCACGATACGTTGTTGCTAATTGAAAAAATCGAAAACTTGGAAAATTCTAAATAATAATAGAGAAAAATTATTTGAAATTTTTTGTTTTTTGAATTTATTTACTCCAGGATGAAATGGATGAAAATAATGAAATGTTAACATTGGATATTGTAAATATGTAAATAATTTAAGAAAAAATATGTAAGCTGCTGGTGATGCATGATTTTCATTTGTATAATCATTTAAATAAATTAATAGTAACGGACGTGCTTGTAAAATTGAACAGAGACTTTCAATTATTGAATTAACTGATTTAGCATATATCGTATGAGTAGATCGTCTATATATAGAGAATAAAATAATATTTTTGTTTTTTTTTTTTATCAAAAAATTTAAAATCTAAGATAATATTTACATATCAAATCTTCCACATGAATATGAATAATTTGACATAAATTGTGGTGATGCAAATAATTTCAATTGAGTGAATTTATCATCACCTCGTGATGATAAACTTGCCAATGAAATATTTACACATGTCATATTCGATGGTATGATTCCATTTACTTTAAGTTTAATACATGATAAATCGTTCATAATAATAATAATAATAAACAATAGTATAAGAAAATAGAGTGACATGTTAATTGTTCTAAGTCGACCAGACTCAATAAAATGTATATATGCCACACATGCGTAAAACGATAAATGATGTCTTTATTGGTGAATGGCCCTTGGCGCAATCATCATCATCAAGAAAAACATTAAAAGAAAAAGACAATTGTATATATGCCAATCGATAGTATGTTGAAGAAATGACAAGCTTAAAAACGCGAGAACGCTAAGCAGGCATTTCTTGTTGATGACGATGACGATGATGATGATGTTGATAAGATTATCTTATTATAGTGTGCACATACATAGAAAATGCCAGTATGACTCTTTAGTGAATTATCAACAACTGAAAGAATTTTACGCTTGTGACAAAATCGTATATTTGCGTACATATATTTTATGGTGCATCTTTTTATCAAACAAGATAATGATCTTTGTCATTGCAAGAAATGATTGATGATGAAATTTTCTAAGGATTGATTATAATCTCGTGAGCGAAGTTCCAGATTTTAATCCTCAACGGAAATGATCGGACAACAAGAGAATAAAGAACAAATTGAAATTATACGCTCGTCAGAAGACATCAATCTTTATATCTTCTGTAGCTTCCTTTTCGAAAAAGAAAAAGAAAGAATCCGATAACATGTTGTTGTTAGGCAATAGTGTAGTAGCAACTATAAATGAGATAATTATAAAAAAGAATTTCTGCTGATCATAAAGAATAATAAATCATTAATCTTATCAATATTTATTTCCATTCATATTGATCATCAGATACAGTTTCATGTATGTTTTTACGATTAGAATAAATTTAATTAAATACAAAAAAACGATATTAAAAATAATAATAATGTTCGTTTCTTTTTTTCTTTTTTTTTTATTATTTACTTTAAGAATTTTTTTCTTTGCACACCTCTCTTTTTTTTTTATTAAATGATTGAAAAACAAAGTTGTATGTTCTTGATTTCTTTTCTGTGTATGTTTTCATTTACTTTATGCTTTTAAAATTTGAATAAACGGCATAAGTAAAGTAAATGCAGTAATCAAGACAACGAAATGGCCGACGCTAACAGGTAAATCAAATGTTTCGTTTTTGGAATAGACTTTTTTTGTTTTTTTGATAGCATAATATATCTTTATGATCTAACATAGTGCCAATAGTACAAATGAATTAATTATTGATAATTACAATAATAAAAAAAGATTTTCCGATGACCAATCATTCGATGATGAACAAATATCAGCAAAAAATGAGAAAGAAAATTTTCAAAAATTAAAAAAGTCAGAATCTTCACCACCACAGGTCATTAACTACAATAAAAAATTTTAATATTTCTATATTTCATTGTTGTTGGTTTTTTTTTGTCTTTTTATTGAATGATAGAGTCCAACTAATCGACCTTCATATCGTGGTCCATTTGGCATTACAGTAGGTGAGAATATTTTGAAAAAAAACGAATAGAAATTCATCATTATTTGTTACATTTTTTCTTTATATTCAATATTCGATTTATATCTACTGTTTTATGTTTTTCATCATAGCTTCAACAATAATTTGGTACATTTGTATTGGCATTCTATTTATTATTTCTTTCATATCTCTTGTCTTATCGATTCTTTACTTTGTCACTGGTAAGTTTTTATAGATATTTATCATTTATTTCTAATTTTTATCGATGAATAGATTCATCGAAAGAAAGCGTAGTTAAATTATATGGTATTAGTGGTGCAGGCACATTAGCAATTATTACTTTTATCATTGTCTTTCTGGATTGTTGTAATGATGGAAATAAGAAAGCTCGTGAACAAGAAGCTACGTATAGAATTCTACAAGAAAAAGAAGCCCGAGAAAAAGCTTTTGCTATACGACGTAGTCGTCGAATAGCCGAAGGTAAAGAAGAAAAACCAAAACCATTCATTATTCAACATCATCGACCACCAAATGTTACTAGCAGTTCTCATCCTCATCCTTATTATCATCTTAATCCTCATCATACTCATCATCTTCCACAGTTTCCATCTACATCTTATCATCATCCATTTGTTTGTCCTATTTGTCATGATTTACATGCATCTGGAAATGCTCGACATAATCTAAGTGATATTGGTGTTGATACATCAGATAAATTTGATCCTGTAGCCAAAAGTAAAAAAGTAATTCATAAATCAACACGTGATGCACAAACTGAACCTAAACTTTGGGATACTGAACGTGGAACACAAACAGATCGAACAGAAGGTACACAAACATCAACTATGGAATTAAGTGGAATGCCTAGTAATGTAACCCAAATTATACATGAAACAACAATTTTAAAAGCACCACGAAATCTTATAAGTACATTGAAAACGTCTATGGCACAACAGGATAAGGATATAGCGATTAATCGTGCTGTAACTGATACAAACACAATGACACCAACTATTATTTGATTCTTTTTTTTTCTATATTTGCATTCATTCCAATAACTGGTTTTTTTTATTATTTTTATATACGATATCAACATTTTTTTAGTTATCTCATTGCAGCTCTACAAAAATCTTTTATACTTTGGTGATTTTTTTTTATTCATAGCTCTTTTGTTAAATAATTTTGAAAGGAACAAAGACCAGTCAAACATGCTGTGATATCTCTGTAATCGAAAAGTGTTTTTACGTGAGACTACACTAGCTTTTTCTTTATTTATCATCACTATGCTGTCTCGTAAAACATATTTTATATGAAATTCCATTGATACAATCATGTCTACTGAAATATATGTTATGTTTTGATTATCCATGTCATAGTAAACGTTTGAAAAGTGCGGATTAATTTCGATTATATTAGTGACTGACAGTTACTCAGAGTTATTTATTTATTGATGAAAATATCACACCCTAAAAATTGCCAAGTAAGCGGACAAGCTACTAGTAAAAACTGGCAACTCATCTATTAGTACTCTGTTTAACACCGGTTAACTATCCGTGACTAAAGTAACGAGTATCGTCTAATGAATTTTGAGTTGTTACTACTATGTGGGTAGTTTTCTTTGTCTATCAATAAATATTCAATAGTTTCTGCTTTATTCTAAGATATAATAGTTTAGATCGTTGTCGCGCTTCTCTTAAACCTAGACGCGTACTAAATGTGAATGTGTTGTCAATTTAAACACCTGCTATGGACATAAATGTTTATGGAATGCACAAGAGCTTTATAGTAACGATATAGCCTTATTTTCTCATAGTTTCTAGTAATCATTCTTCCCTAATGTTCTACTTACATCATGTTTCTTAAAGAAGTATTTGCAAAACAGTTTCAACGACAACTATTGCTTACTACATTTATATTTATAATTGTTTCTTATCGAATTAAAGAGTATTACGCTAAATTTTTTGTTAAATTACAAAAGAATTCTGTTTGCAATAGAATTTTCAAGTATTCGACCGAGACCTTTATTGATTTGAAGATTTCATTTGAGAGATAGAATCTGATAATGATAGATAACAATGTAAAAAAGGTTAGTAGATGATTCATCTCAGTTACTAAGCCAAGCGCAACTTGACGAGCACTATTTAAAGATATGATCAGATTTTGACCAAAACTAAACTGTATAGTGATAAAAAACGAAAATATTTAATATATTCCATAACGAAAAGTTAGCAGTTTTTGTCAAGTGATGATTTGCCTGAAAATATAAGTTATTCGTGCATCGTACATCAATAGGAATAGAGTTTTGAGTTCTATAGAACGGCATGTACTTCATCTAGATAAAATTATTTCATCAGTAGCTATATTCTATGGAAGTTTCGAAAGTTTAGTGTCAGATCGTATTATTTGTGACGGTTCGCCTGAGTGCATAGATCACTCTTAAATCATATACCAGTCTATTGAATATTTCACGCTCTTTAAAATGATGTATGAATGAAGACAAAGCATGTGTCGTTGGAATCTCAGAAAATTAAACAAACAGTCAATAAAGATAGGTTTTGAATTATTAAGTGTTCAGAGCGATTCGTCATCTGAATACATATGCCATTCATCAAAAATATACTATTTAATAGAGCTCGATATTTCACATCAATCGATACATCATTCACGAATGGCTTATGCTTTCAGAAGAAACATCATTGATTTGGCCAGAAATATCAACTTTTCGTAATGGGAGATATTGAAAACCTTCGTTTTTCTTGCCATTCTTCAATTTTGGTCAGATCTAATCGTACTGCTAGACAGAGTTCGCCATGCTGCGTATGACTTGATCACTGAGGTGAACCGCCGAGGAAAAAACTGGAAGTGTCCTCTAGCTTTCCTTAAATTGGATAACAAACTTTTGATTACAGTTCGAGAAAATTTATTTCAAACAGGGTGCTCTCTTCAATTAGTCGAAAGAGTAGGAAATCATCTGAGTTTGGTTTTTGTTGGTTTAGCAAGCAAGACAGGTGTTGTGTGCATTGTATCGAGATGGTATTTCGTAGGGTAATATGAACAAGCTTTTTACCGAACAACTTAGCTAATTTTAGAAAATAGAACTCAATGGTTTCAAACTTTAGCATGATGAATTTTGTTTGTATAATGGACTTGATATGTCCATCTTTTGAATAGTAGAGATGCTGAGAGTATGATCATGAATTTGTACTATAATATACTTATCCAAAACTGAACAATCAGCATACAATACAGAAAACAGTTTTGTGTACGATTTGCATATTGAAGCAACTACTATAAATGGAAAACATTGCACTATATTGTTACATGTTGATAATTACATCGAAGAACATCATTAAGTATCAGGGATATCTCTGTTCATCATATTGAAAATTTGTTATTAAACACAGCTATCAATCATACACTGTTTATTTTTTAACATAAATACTTGAAAAATATGAAACTATTAGAGTTTCAGGACAGCTATGGAGAGAAATCAACTTAGTTTTCTCAACTACACACATTGTAACTTTTATTAATCAAACAGATCATTTTAGTTTAAAAAAACGATTACACAGAAAAATAAGTAACTGAATGTGAACCAAGTACAATATTATATAAATGTTCGATAGAATGGGTATCTGTCAATATCATATTATTTTTTCATTTTGTCCTTCAACTTACGAATATTATTTTCTGTTTGAACGATGTCTGTATGAGTAGGTGGTAGAGTTTTTCGATTGATGGAAAGGGATTTTTGATAGAATTCTAATGCTTGAGTATGATCTCCCCTCTGATCAAACAACCAACCAAGATTATTGTATGTCGCAGCTATGTCAGGATGATCAGATGGTAGGGCAGCTTTTTGTGTCTTAAGAGTTTTGTTATAATACTCTTCTGCCAAAGTATTCTTGTCCATCGTGTGGTATATAACAGCCATTCGATTGTAGGTTCTAGTTAAGTTACGAAGATTCACGGGTTTTGCCTTTTCTTGGATCTTAAGAGCCATATTCATGTAAACTAAAGCTTGATCGTAATCAGAATTAGACCAATAGAGCACACCAGTCCGACTGTATAATTCTCCTAAATCAGCATGATCTTTAGGTAAAATAGATTCTTTGATGGATTGCTCTGATTGCGTATGTTCGAGTGCCTGACTCGCATCGTTTTTTCTAAAAGCGACCCACCCGAATCCTCCATATGCTGTACTGACGCCAAGCCGTGAATCGCGCATCATCAACTCGTAACATTTTTGTGCTTGATCAAATTCACCCATCTCGATCAGAATCTTACCGAGAGAATGGAGATCAGTATCATCACCTATGGTTTCTTTCATGTGAGCAAATGTCTCTTTCAAATGAAAATCATCTTCACTAGCAAGAGATACACGAGCCACCCATATTCGATCATTTTTATCTTCAATAACTTTTTCGATACGAAATAATGCGCCAAGCATAATCAATAGTTCATTTTCATGTTGAAAATAACTTATTTTAGTAATATCAGAAAAAGCCTTGGTTTGTAAACGTGGATCAATTTCAATTTCAAAGACAATTCGTTGAATACCATCAATGAGTGGAGTTAGCCAAGCAAAACGAAGAGCAGTCGATCGATCACGACTAGTCGATAAAAATGAATTCATTGAAAGAAACTCGCCAATATTATTTTTCATTAGTTCCAATTGATCATTTCCAATCGTTTGACCACGAAACACTCGAATTATGTTTCGAGTCTCGCTCGTACGAATAAATTTTTCATATTCATTTTTGATTTGCTTGGCGATATCCGTGATAAAAAACCGAAGAGCAAATAACATGTCAAAATCTTGATCACGTAACGCCTTATTCATTATTCTATAAAAACATGATTGTCGTGTATACCACCATATTGCATTTTCTGGTTTATAGTTCTTTTCAAATTCATCAATGATTTTCATTTCGCCATAGTTATTCTTGTAATTATTCTTACAAATATCAATAAGTTCTTTACGATCAGTAGACTTATGATGCATACGAAGAAGAACTTCAATAAATAATTGGAACCACATAAAAATAGCATTACGAGCTTGAAGAGATTGAGAACCAGAGGTAATTACTGATATTGAAGTACCATCTTCCACTTTTCCTCGAGCGATTTGATCTTTAGAGATTTGAGCAACGAGCTTAGCACGTTCAACAAAAATGCCATTGATCTAGGATATGAAAATCACAAGATTTTACTATGATTGTGATCAAATATCTTACCTTGGGATATTTGCTAGCCCATTGTTCATTGTCTTTCTTATCTTGACAAAAGACATAACATGCAGAAAGTTGTGGAAGATCATGAAGTCGAGGTACGACCTGTCGACCTAATGCACCTGATATAATGAGAACGACTTTTTCTTGAGTGATCTTTCGAATATATTCTTCACATTCATCACTATTATCAAATGTTCGAAAATGATTGATGATTTTATGAAGTTCTTGCTGAGTATCTCGATTATCTTGTGTCGAATCAACATTCTGATCCACCCATAAGCATTCAAATGATTCAAGATTAGCAGTGGTGGATTGGTCGGTTGTTTTGTTTTTCGAGGTAGATACTTTGGACGATTGATTTTTGCTAGTAGCCATATATGTGAGACAAATTTATTTCTGGGTAGACAAAGCGTCTCGATTATTATTCTGTCTTTCTTCTTTTTCCAACTGTGAAACTATGTTGTTCAATGTGTTCTCTTAAATTTACTACCGAAAGAAGCAGAATTTTTCTTCTTCCTATAGAACAAACGAAAAAACAACTCACTTCATATATATACATTGATAATATTGACACGAAAAAGTATGTGAGGTAATGGAAACCGTCTGTAGTATTTTAGAGAGAGAGAGGATATTTAAAGTAAATACTGATTGTAACATGAAAAGTAAAAATAATTTTGTTTTTCGCAGTTTGAATTGATAAAGTTTGGATCTCAAATATCTCACAAGTTGTGAAATATTTGTCAAACTATGACAAAGATTCGGATCGAATTATGTATATGAAATAGGTGACAATGAGTGATAAACAAACTTTCGTTAGAGATATGCAAAACTTAAAAAATCTGGAAAAAAAAAGAACATTTTGATGTTCCTATTGATCTGAAATGTGACCAAGAATGATCGATATTCACTCAAACGCTTTGATTTGATACTATCGTTAATGTCTTTCCAATTATTGAACTTTCTATATTCACTGACACATCATTACGAACTGGTTTTCACAATATAAATCTTAAATACTGAATCGATTTTCAAGATTAGATTGTATGCTTTCTCATAAAGAAGAATTTGTTAATTTTCAGTACAGCATATACTTATATTACAGACAGACCATCCTTTGAAAAAAGCCTAATTTAATAAAATTTTCTTTGGCACTCCTAATAATTCATTAGGTTATCTGAATGTTTCAGTATGCAATACAAACCGAAAAATATTTCATTAACTCTTCTTTATTTTTGGAATGAAATCTACGAAAAATGAAATATCAAGAATCAACGAAAAATAAAACTCATATGTAAAAAAAATCAATCGAAGTAAAAATTTATAAGAAAAATTTAATGATCAATGTTTCTAAATAGTTGTATAACCTCCATCAACTAAAAAGCTAGCACCTGTAGCAAAATGACATAAATCCGAAGCTAAAAAAACTGTGAAATTTGCTATTTCTTCTGTTGTACCCCATCGTTTTAAACATTGTTTTTCCGCTTGTGTTGCAATAAGTTCATCTAATGATATATTTAAATTAACTGCATGTTGAGATGAAGCTGGTGTAAGTATAGCACCAGGACAAATAGCATTACATCGAATATTAAATGGACCTAAATCAAGTGCTAAATTACGTGTCATTTGTAAAATAGCTCCTTTTGTTGTACTATACGGTACAAATTCAGGTTGAGCAACCCAACTACTAATACTAGCTATTTGTATAATTGAACCTGATTTTTGTTTTTTCATTAGAGGAACAATAGCTTTAGCCATTAAAGCATAACCACGTACATTAACATCTAATATTCTTGACCATGCCTCTGCTGTTACATTTTCAACAGCACCAAATGTAAAAATAGCAGCACTTTACAAAAAAAACAAAAATAAAAAATAAAATCAATGAAAAAACTAATATATTTACTTATTAACAAGTATATCAATTGTATTCCATTTATCTACAACAGATTTGACAGCATTTTGAATTGATTGTTCATTAGTTACATCAAGTTCAATAGACATCATATAATCTTTTTTGTTCGCATCTTCATTAATCATTTTTGTTACAGTTTCATCAGCTGTATTTTTGTTAACATCGGCAACTACGACACGTGCACCATGTAATGCACATGTTTGTGCAATTGTTGAACCTATAGCTCCACCAGCACCAGTAACAAATACAACTTTATCTACCAACAATCGAGACCAGTCACCACTCGCTTTCGATGCTTGCTCAGGGATGGTAGCCATAATTATTTATTACGAAGTAAACGCAGAACTTTTGATACAAGTAAATTGTTCGTTCTTTCTTATCTTCAATATTGATATCGTCTTTTAAAAAAAATATAAACATTTGTCTATTGTGTTAGGAGGTTTAAAAGACATTTCTTTCTAGCAATTATTATCAGATGCACTTCCCATTAGCGACATCTATATGATATTATGAAGCAATGAATAAATCCAAAATATTTTCACATGAGCTAGTCGACAATTTAAAAAGAAACATTATTATCATATACTCATGATAGGGCATTGATATATTCTCGTCATTCTGCCAAGAATTATTTCGATGAAAATTGTATAGAGCAGGACAAGTACAACATTTTCAATGCAATAAACATATTATATAGAAACTTACTCCTAACAAGAAGCATCTCATTCAATTGTAAATTAAATTTAGATTTTTGTAATACGTAAATTTCTGCATAGGATTGATTAATTCGAAATCATAAGTCAAGTGCATAAGTGAAGTAGAAGCGGCTGCAAAAAAAATTTGAGTCATCTACAATCTGACAGCCTACCAATCATATGTGTGTTACCATATACATTTGAATAAAATAACAATTAGCTCCATCTGTCGTTGTCAATACGGGTTTGACTGACTGTCTGCTCGAAGAAATAGAAAGGAAGAAAAAAGAATAGCACTGAATATGACTCATTCTCTGTAAATATAAAGACAGATCTTGTTTGACCTACATATATTTAAGAAATCCCGGTGAAAAAATTGATTTTATTTTATGTTTTAAATAATCTAAATTCTTGTTTTAATCATGTCAATTTCTTCAACAAAGAATGATTTTGATGAAAATATATCATCAATTGATTTAATTCCATTTGATCCAAATGCAACATTTTATTTTTTACCAAATGGTATTGGTAAAAGTCGTCGTACAATATTTACCGATGCTATTCAACAATTTCATCTTCAACTTGTAACATCACCAGAAAATGCTCGTTTTATTATTGTTGATGAACAATTTGATGTACCTAAAGTATATTCAATATTAAAATTAGATCCATCAGAAAATGATGAAAAATCACCACCAATTATTATTCAAACCAAATGGTTAAGTGATACATTAAAAGAAAAACATTTAATTCCAATAACAAAAGATTATATTATTCGAGCACCACTTATTCGAAAAAAACCAATACCATCATTTTCACAAGAACCAATTATAGAAGAAAAGAAACATTTTCAAAATAAACATAAACGAAGATTATCTGATGATCAACCTCAAGGTGGATCTGCAACACAAGTTAAACAAAGATGTTATTCATCTGATGATGATGATGATGATATTATGGAAGTTAGTTTAATTTAAAAAAAAAATAATCTATTTCATTTTTAATCATTTGCTTTGTTTTTCCTCAGGATTATAATGATACAGTTAAAAATCCATATAAACATGGAGAATTACCAGTATGTTACAAAAATACTATTTTTTTTTCTTCAAATGAATCATTTTTTAATATAGAAAGGTAATTGGATGTGTTCAATGTCTTCTCAAACAGCGAAAAAGAATACTGAAATCAATCAAGATATTATTGATAAACTTCAAGCTATGGCTGACCTCTATGGTAAAACAAATGGTATGAAAAAAAAACATCGTGAATTTAGATGATCGTTTGACAGGAAAGAAGAATACATATCCCTGTTGGCTACGTTGCTGCTAAGTGGCAGATTCATCAATCCGAGATCTTCCCCATAACTAATACTAGCTGAAGCTCTTGGCAGAAGGCTGATCTGACGCAGAATTCTTGTGCTCTCCGTACACATTGACTAATCATATACTAACCCTGATTGTACCGAGGTTTGAACATACTACCTTGCGAATACATGTCGAACAGCGTAGTTACTCAGCCATGATGGTCTCCGTCCTTATAGTAAAACCACTACGTTGTTGAGGCTGAGGAAAATCGTTCAGTATAACAGAGTGTTTATAAACGAGGAATTCAAGCAAATATAAATAAAAATATTAGTTTTATCACTTTCTGCCTCCTTTTAAGTGCTTTTTATTAAATAGTTTTTAACTTTTAGTACTTTAAGTTCTTTTAACCAGATGGATTTCAAACATCATATCAAGATTCCGTCTAATCAGGTTTAAACACTATCATTGATAGTTTGACTCAAATCATGTTTCACGTTTTTTGAGAATATTTGACACAGCACCGATGGACGCTTGAAATTTATCTGTTGATTTACGATGAAATATACCAAATTCTTGGTCTTTGATTAAACTCGTCTTTTGGTCTACATCAAGAACATTGCGAGATACCATATCTGATAGACAAAAATTGAGAAGCTGCTCAAAAATATCTGGTTGTCAATTCTTTTTCACTTTTATTGAATTTAATCATAGAGTCGGTAATCATCGTTACAACTACAATCAGATGATTTATTCAAGTAGTGCCTTCTCTTGATATTCATATTCAGAATTCAGGAGTCTTCATAAAAGAGAGGTGCTCACTGAGAGAGATTTTACTGTATATTTAAGCTCCTCCGCTCCTTTCTCCTCAATAATTGATCTCCACCCAGGTACATTCAATATGAAATTCTCTGTGGGACTTTATTCTATAAACTTGATTATTTTTTGTTTGAAAGAGTATGACAGAGCCTTCTTTTTTTTTAAATTCGTACTTTTTAGGAGACAACAGGGATGAAAAGTTCAATGTCTCAAAAAGTGGTGCTCTAATTATACAAGTAACAAAGCTTAATTCAAAAAACGAGTTCTGTGATGTCCTACATCTTGACATGGTCTTTCAAACAAAAGGAAAAAGTTATTGGCTACAATGAGGCTACTTCAAGAGTTTTGGGATGCGCGATCAAAAAAACACATAGAGAAAAAGCGAAAAGAATTTTCCTCTTTATTTAGAAAAAAAAATCAAGCGCCAAATAGAAAATCTTGTGAAACCTCAGACTATCTAATTGTAAATTTATCTCAATTTTTCACTATTTTTTGGGGACTTAATAGAGCTAGACGTGAAGAAATGTTATCTATGTCGAAATGATATATTGATTTAGAAGATTTAATCATTTTCCTTATCCTTTTTCACATTTATGAGTTTTCTTTTTATTAGATAAATGGCGTGCATATTCATATCAAAAAGCTATAACGACAATTCGTCGATGTACAAAACGAATTGATTCATATGAAGTAAAATAAAATGATTTGAAGTTACTTTTTGAAAATACATTTTTTTTCTACTCATTTAAGGAAATAATGAAATTACCTGGTATTGGTGAAAGTTTAGCTAAAAAAATTTGGGAAATAATTGATACGGGGGGTTTTGAAAAATTAGAAGATTTTCAATCATCTGAATATATAACTGTTATTAATTTATTTGGTAATGTATGGGGATGTGGACCAAATATTGCTAAACAATGGTATGATCAGGTATGAATTCTTTTTTGTTGTTGTTGTTGTTGTTCTAGATGTTTAGAGAATTTTTTGTTTTTGTTTTTGTTTTTATGAAATAGGGTTTTCGTACTCTTGATGATCTTCGTACAAAAGCAAAATTATCTCATAATCAACAAGTTGGATTAAAATATTATGATGAGTTTCTTGAACGAATTCCACGTGATGAAGTTACTGAAATTGAAGCTGTGGTTTGTGTTTAATAAATGAAAGATAATTTTTTTTTTTGCATTTGAAATAATATTTAGGTGAAAGAACATGCACTGGCATTAGTACCTGGTCTTACTATTCAAACTTGTGGTTCATATCGACGAGGCAAAGCAACATGTGGTGATGTTGATATTTTAATAACACATCCTGATGGAATATCACATCAAGGTCTACTTATTCCATTGGTTGATTCATTAAGAAAATCTGGTATGTTTACAAATTTATTTGAATTTTAAGTCAAACAATTTCAGCCGCCGATCAATGCATTGGCTTGTGTCTCTAAGAGTAGGATAACGATTAAAAAAATTTTCTCACTCAGGATACGAAGAAAGTTTAATCTGGACATGTGTATTAGAATTTTGTTTTTTATCAAGGGATGTTTTAGGTTTTCTAACTGATGATCTTGTTCTTTCGGATAAATATGAAGAAGATGGCGGGTAAATGAAATTTATTTTATATTTTAATTTGAATATGTCTTTTGTTTTTATGTTCAAAGTTCTCATGTAAAATATTTTGGTGTTTGTCTGTTACCCGGTGAAAATAGAAAAGTACGTCATTTTACAAATTGAAGACAATACAAAGAATATTTTTTTATTTTAAAGCATCGTCGTCTTGATATTATTGTTATACCATATAGTGAATATGCTTGTGCTCTACTTTATTTTACTGGTAGTGCACTTTTTAATCGATCAATGCGAAATTTAGCACATCAATATAATATGTAATTTATCTTGTTTTTATTTTCTTATTAAAATAATATGGATTTTTTTGAAGGTATTTATCTCAGCATCGTCTTAATACCGGTGTTATTCGCAAGGTAAAACCTCGCCTCTTTCTCTCTCTCTCTATATATCATTCTATAGAAATTAATTTATTTTAGAATAATTCAAAAATCAATATGGGTACACCATTGTATACTCCAACAGAAGAATCTATTTTTAAATATCTAAATTTACCTTATCGACCACCAGAAGAACGTGACCATTAACTAGTCAAAGACAAACAGAAATTTTTGTTTTTATTTTTTAATCGATTGTGTTTATGTATTTTGGTTTTGTCTATTTTCAGTAATTTTTAAATCGGTGATAATAAATAAATATTTTATATTTCAGATTGTTTTTTTTTGTCTCTATAATAATAAAATGGTGTTAGATGCAAATATTCTACGAGAAAAATTAATTGAAGCTTGGAAATTACGTTCAAATGAAACTAGTTTTTCAGCTTCACTTGCACCATTAATTGCAGAATGTCGATCTGAAGAGGAATTTCGTACATTATTTACTAGTAAGAATAAAAAACAAAATTTTCTTTTTGTGTTAGATATTTATTTATGTATTTAATAATTTTTAGCACAAATTCTTACACATATTGATTCAGCAATATCATCTAATCTTCTTCAATCATATTTTAAATTTCATGCAAGATCTGGTTATATAAATGAATCATTAGTTATTGAACATCTTCTTTCATTAACACCATTATCATCATTAATAACAACAGATGATATTCAAATAAAATTTTTACTTGAATTATTATTTGAAACTCTTAAAGCTATGCATGTTACTGCTGAACAAGCACCTCGTCTTGGTAAACAATTAAATTTACTTGCTAAATGGCTTTGTTCAACATTATGTATTTATTTAAATCAATTAAATATAAATGAACAAATGAATATCAAAGAAAAAGAAATGATTATATTAATTTCAAATTTATTTCTTTTATTATTTACAAATACAACATATTATTGTCTTTGGTTAATGATAATTAAAGCACAAAAAGAACAAAAAGAATGGAAACAATTACAAGAACGATTAGAATTAGTTTCAAAAAGAATACCAACAGGAGAAAATTTTAGACCTGATGTTTATGAACAAATTCTTTTTAAGTAAGATATCTTTCGATGTACAAACTGAATCATAAATAATAAAGGATTATTGAAAAGTAATTTTTAAAAAATGTTCATTCACTTTTCAACTTCTTAAACAATTCTGCAGATATTTGAAAACATTGAGTTAGAATCAAAATTTTGAGTTTTTTTCGACTATGACTCGTATGACTTTTGACTTAACCCTTTGCGTATCATAACTACGAATGATTGGAAAATAGCAGAAACCTCAGTCTTGAAGTCTCATGAATTCTTTATGCTCTAGCTTTTCTATAACACAATCTACTCAATGGATTGAGCTGAGCCCGGCTCGATCCAGCTTAACCCATGGCATCGAGGTCTCAGTTATCGATAATAAATAACTTCCACTAGCATGGCAAGCCAAACTATTGGTTAGGAAAAGTTACAGTTAGATAAGTGACCAATCGGTGGGCCATTTTTTAGGAAAAAACCATAGGCTAGATGGGGCCAAAGATCAATAACCCATGGGCGGCTTTCTTCAGCTCAACGCAGACCATTGTGACCTCTGCTTTGTACTTCTGTATACTTCAGAAGTGTAGATGTATGCCTTTTCCTCTTTAACTGATGAGTCAGAACAACTTCTGTTCTATTTTTGAGAAAGGCACTTCTGGACAGAGATGCCCATGGCGAAGTTACTGTCGTGGCGGTGGCGTCGCGGCAGCTATTTTAGGAAGAAACTTCAAGAATACATGAATTTGCACAGAATCTCGGCGTTCATATATGTCATATTGTAAGACTTAGCAAACCTAATCGATTAGCGACAGTAGTTCTAGTTCAAACCGGCCACAGCCTTGAAAATCGAAACATTTTTTGAATACCATCTCGGCAGTGGCAAGTGTTGTCAATGGTGCGTCGCGGCAATAGCTTGGTGACTTTTTTTGGTTATTGCTGCGGTAGTCTTTCAGCCGCGATGGACATTTGTGCTTCCGGGTACAAAAAAAAATTTGTTCTGTTACTGAAATTCCGTTGCTAAAACAGAAAAAGACTTTTCGAACAGCTTCGATCCAGGAACTGCAGCACTGATGGGATCGATTCGTGTTTTTCTAGCTCCGAGTAGAACAGAACCGAAGCCGAGATCGATTTGAAAAGCTACGAACTGAACTGATCGGTTCAGCTCGGTTTGGTTTAAGAACCGAACCGATCTCATTTTTGAAATGAACTATTGGAACAGATCAGTTCCTGCCAGAGAAACTGCTTGAACAAGCGTTGTGATTGGACCTGAGCTTTGAAGTGAGAGTTAGTCGACTCCTTAGTATAAGATAAACAAATATTTTGTGAAATACGACCTAGAAGGAGGAGTGAAGTATAGGGATAGAAATTAGGGCCCCTCACAGACGTGATAGATACGTGAGAGACGGCTGATTAACAGACATCCTTAGCAACGACTCTCTTTTATCATAGACCGTGATAGATGTTGTTGATATATGATCACAGACCGTATATAAATAACATCTTGTTAAACTACTTATTGCATTTGTAAAGGATTAAGTAAAAGGATGGCGAAGAAATGTGTTTTAATATAGATAGAATAAAATAATCGCTCTATGATTAACAACAGCAACTACATCGTATTTCACATTTTAATTCCACATGAATTGTACTTACAGTATTTTTTTTTCTTTAGAATAGCTCATCTTCATTTATCTGAAGAATTCCATCAAGAAGACGTTGAATTTAATATATCAATATTCAATCCTATTGTTTCAATGCTTGTTATTAATCAACTTCATAAATCCTCATCAATTATTCTTTCAATTCTTCGTTTCTATGAACATGTTTCAACAACATCAAATCCATCTTTAATCTATCTTCGTCTTCTTCAAGCATCATTTGGTGGTTATCTTGCATCAGTATTAACAAATAATAGTGAATATCAACAACGTTGGTCAGCATATATAAATTTTCAATTACCACGCATATTAGCATCATGTTTTGAAACACAATTTGATATAATAAAACAATGTTTTGAAACATTTTTATTACATAATGAATATTTACTTAATCGTATGGATGAATTATGTTTTGAAAATGTATTTGAAAAATTTTTTCAAACAATATTAAATTATACTAAAAATGATATCAAAGAAAAAAACGAAAATAAAATAAATCAATTAAATTTTTATATACAACAAATTCGTTTACCATATATTCAACAAATTCAACGATATTATCAAAATCATCAAATACGTTCGTTTTATTTTTATTTGTTTCTTTTTTTTTTTTCTTAATTTTTTTTTGTTTTTTGATTTTTAAAGATTCTTATTCATTTCAAATTCTTCAATTACAACGTACATTAGAAAAATCTCTATATAAAATTTTTTCAACACCAAATGATAATGATAATCTACAAAATTTAGTTAATAATTTAACTGATTATATTCCATTAATATGTGCACTTGATCAATATTATTCATTGATTAATTTATTATTATCATATACACAAACACAATATGATCTTGCTTTATATTTACTTTGTTATATAACATCAATAACAGATGATACATCAGAAGATTTTGGTCATATAGATATTAATTATGATAAATCATCATCATCATTTATTATTTATATGTGGTTAAAAAAATATTGGTTATCACGTCATTTAGGTCATGCTTTATTTTCATCATCACTTTATTCAATTGATTTTCTTTCACCAATAAATAATTCATTTGATGATATATCAGTAGAAAAAGATGAATTTTTATTAGATATTAAAAATTTTAATCATGATAATATACAAATAAAATATTCAAATATTGATTATTTAATAAAAACAATTTATTTACTTGGAGAACTTCAATCATTATCATTAGATGAAACAAAACAAATTGTTTTACAATTAATTAATTATTTAACACATGTTTCATATGGTTCACTTGTACATGTACTTCTTTGGCTTATAGCAAATTATCAAATAGCAAATGATAATGAAAAACCATGGATTCAAAATATTATTCATACCATGGGTAAATTAAATTTATATATGATCAAGTAGTCGATACTATTCTTTATGAGTTATCTGTAAAGAGAAAACACTAGATTTTAATATCGATTATATCAGCTGTATCCAGACATGCACCAGTTCCAACTCGACTGGGTAACAGCCTACTCGGATGCCAAATCGACTGTACATCAACGCGACTTTATATCAGCTCGACTGATTACTAGTCCAATTAGGAATCAATCCCAATAGTGTCTGTCCGTGTAGGCGCCAGTTTGATTGGAACTGATGCATATCTAGCTGGATTCCCTTTCTAATCTGACGTGGAAAGTTCCCTCACTTGATTAATCACTTATAAATCGGAACAATATCCATCATGTAGACTCTAATAAGTTATAAATACCTTAAAAAGAGTTAGCGTTGTGTAGAACGTTCAAAAAGTTTCGAGGTTGATTTATTTTAGAAAAAAATATAAGTGAGTTATAATTATAAGTGTATGTTTTTTCTTTTTCAATTTATTGCGTCTTTACCATACTAAACTTTTGTCAACATTGTGGAAGTTTTTGTATAGCTATTGTGACGTCATCTTCAGATAGACGTAATGATGAACCTTGATCATTGTAGTCCCTTTTTCTGAGTTGATCCTTTAGAATTATAAATAGGAACTAATTATTGTTAGTCAGATCTGAAGAATAAAGTGAATAATAGTTTCAACACAGCTGTTACAGTCCGATACATATCTATCTAATCAAATATCGAATGATTCTAAATAAAAATACATTTTATATTTTTACTGTTTAATAACTAGATTAGTTCAGATAGAACTCTTTAATTCAATTTAATAATTTTTCTTTTAAGATATGAATTTCATTGGTTGAATTACATTTAAAATAGTATGAACAAGATTTTAAATAACTTATAATCATAAAAATTGATCGAACGAGATAATCTGAAGATTTTCTAGATACTGGAGGTGTGCATGGTAAGAGTTTTTTTTTGTAGCCTATTCTCTGTGTGAGAGAAAAATTTCTATCCTGACGGTGTGTGGATGTTTCTCGCTCTCCAAAAAAAGTTAATTTTGGTCAAATTTGTTGATTTTATGATTTATAGTTCGTTAGATAGAGCAGTGTCTACTTTCGAATGAACTATAGTTTATTGATTTTATGATGAGATTTAAGGATATTACATATGTTTTTCTGAATCTTTCACAAAAGAAAATAACGTTTTTTTCTAAAAACTTTTAGTTTTTTCTCAAAATATGGTTTTTGATTTTTACGTATCTGTGCATCCCAGATTTCTTCGCTGTTTTATATACTAGGAAGCAGAGCTTGATGTCAAAATGAAGATAAAAATTAGCTCTACAACTTAAGTTTTCAACAGAATCTTTCTATCGTTAAAAATAGAATAAAATAGAAATGATTTTATTATTAATTAAAATAAAATCTTTGTTAATTTATGATGATAATAAAAATATATTAGTCGTAATTTGTCATGTGTAATCAATGCGCATTCAGCTAACATTACACAATATTTCACTATAGAGAAATTCTTTCGCATGTTTTCCTTGTTCTGCAATGGCTCTTGCATTCATTAATAATCTTATATTTTAACAGGTGCAACAGGTGATTCTAACTCGACAATAGTCTCATTACTCGATGCTATAAAACGACAATTATGGTCAGATTATATCGATAATCCATTAGTATCACATTATTCTATCGTTCCAAATTTTTCATCAATAGTTAATAATTTATTTTTATCATCATCACAAACATCTACATCAATTATTCAAACATTATTTGATACATATATAATAAATGAATTTCTTAATTGTGAACAATCACGTGCATTATATATTTGTTCAAAATATGTTCCAATAGATTTTTTAATTGTACGTTTATTAATAAATATAAATACATCAAATGGAGTCTATGAAACAAGTCGTGCACTTTATTTTATATTAGGTTTAATTCTATTTCGAAGACGTTCATCAACACGTTGTTTATTAAAACAAGTTTTACCTTATTTATTTAATATAAAATCTAATGAATTTATGCTTGAACCAAATGTTTATACAATATGTTTTATAATGAATATTATTCTTGCACTTGAATTTAATCAAAATAATGATCAATTAGAAGATTTATTTCATGTTAAATCATGGAAAGATATATATTCGATTGATGATATTATACCAAAATATGAAGATACAACTGTTGCTGATGCATATCATTCTTTATTAAATTATTCATCAGAAGAATTATTTTCAAGTGAAACACTTCGACCAGTTAATTATTTTCTTGGTTGGTTTCAAACAATTCTTTGGATGTTTAGTCGTACAGCTAAATCATTAAAACCATTTGTTAAACCAAAATTAGTAAGACATTAAAGATTTCTATTTTGTTTTGTGAAATACAATGTAAAAGAAGTGCTAAAGTATAGGAGTAAAAATTTGGACTGCTGCCCCGATAGACCGTGGCTAGATTTGTGCGGGATCAAAATTTAGAAGTTTGCCAGGACCAGAACCACAGAAAAAAGAAGTTGCTGAGACTGAGATCAGTACTAAGAGAAAAAAGTTATCCTAATTGGAACATATTATAGTTCAATGTTCTACAACTTTTAGCAAATTATCTTATAAATCATATCAATCAGAACGTAATTCAAGAGAAATGATCCAAAAAAGTGCTAGTCATCGGCTAAATAATTAAAAAAACACTGAGTATTGAAGAATGTTTTTAGATATGATACAAATAAATTCTGGAATAATTTTCTCTAGATCTGGACCGATACTACAATAGGAACCAGTAGAAATAACTTGTGAGGAAGACATCCGAAGTGTTCTCTCGATTTAGAACACGTATTTTGCCCACAAGTAGATCTCGATGTCAATAGCCAAAACCTAAAAGGATTCATGGCCATAGGCTGTTGAAGCCAATTGATGACCATTTCCAGGCAAGGCATTCATGGAATAATCAAATGATGGTATTTTGACCTGAAATTTTGCCCATAAAGAAGTCTCATGGTTTTTAGAATATTCTAGAAATTTCAGCCGAAGCGAATGCTTTATCTGTGAGATACTGAATTTTCAAAACTTTCAATTTTCTGCCTTTTTCTGTGGCATATGACCATTTTTTAGTCATTCAATATCTCAAGGATAAAGCATTCATTTCGGCCGAAACTTCTAGAATATTCTAATAACCTTGAATGCCTTGCCTGAAATTGAAAACCCAGTGGAATGATCATAAGTCGGCTTCAACAGCTTGTGATGGCTATTTAGCATTGAGGTCTACTTATGGGCGAAATATGAGCTCTAAGTGGAAGGAACACTTTGGATACTTCCCTCACTAGTTCTGCACACATCTCTAATCGTGGCAAATGTTAGTTAGAGACCATGACAGGCTGTAATAGACGCCTTAGAGACATTCTTTTCTTCCCTCGTGTGACAGACCGTTACAAATATTGTTGATATACGACTACCGATCGTATATCAATAACTTCTCGTTATAATAATATATAAAATAGAAATGGGCAACTTCACAATATCTCACTCCAGCTGTCATTTGGAATTGCCTATCTCTGATATGAACTGCTTCCTTATTGCATTCCTGAAGCATTAAATAAAAGGATGATGAAGAAATGTATTTCAGAATAAATAGAATAAAATAAACTATCTATGTTTAGCATCATCATCATCATGTTTCACATTTTAATTCTACAAGGATTGCACTAACAGTTTTTATTTTATTTTTTGTTTTCTTTGTTATCAAGGTTGCTCAATTATCAGAATATTTACCATTACAATTTCCAATTGAAAAAGTTCTTAGTATATTAGAATTATCAAATAATATTGAAATTGAATATGCTGCAATGGTTATAACACGTGATTATACTTGTTTAAAAACATTAAATAGTCGAACATCAAAAACACTTATACATAATCAACAATTGACAATTAGTGATAATAGTTTAACAACAATGTCAATGAATCTAACAAAGAATATTTTTTCAATACCAAAAAATCTTTAAATTGTTACTCATGAAATTCTTTCTGTTCAAAATGATTGTAATATTTTTGTAAATTTCTTTGTCTATAAATAATGTTTCATGTTGCATGAATGAATTAAACTCTCAATTTCATGTTTATTCTTTGTTTATTAAATAAATATGTTTACGGTTATATACATTAAATAAAGAAATCAATATCAATCAGCTTATTTTATATAGTTATTAATTAAAATTGGTTTATTCAAATGTATATTATCACAGTTTGAATGGTGAAAGTATTGTTTGATGAGTGCAGCCTGTCCACAAGTGATGCACTCTGCCGTTTTTGATTGTCAACAAATGATATTTATTGATATAGAATATATGAAAACATATAAAAAAAAAATTCGAATGAATAAGTTGAATCATTTTATGCATGAAAAACCTTCTGCTCAACTTTGTCCAAGCATAATTTCTTTTAGTTGAAGAGGCTAAATTGCTTTAGAGACGATAAAGAAGAAGCATAGAAAAGTTTTTCTCAATTTCAAGTGTTTTTAAGGAAATACTAGATTACAGATATAACAATACTTATATCATTTAGTGTGTTCAATATAAGATGTTCAAGATCGAAGAATCCCAATCTGTAGCTAGTTTGACGAAAAAATCAATCTTAAAAATATTCCGTTACCTATCATCAGGTAATTAACTACTCTACCAATACCTCCAATTCCTTATTGATACTTTCACATCCTTTTATAAAATTGAAGCGAGTAGGATTAAACAATTATCGTTTTACTGGATTTTAGTATGTCGTTATTGGCTCACTAGGAAAATTAAATAAATAAATTTCAAATTGAAACTCTATAGAATAGAAGCAACTCAGTCTAAAGGTTATAATTTTTTGATCTGAGCACTAAACAAACAATGTAAGAAATTGAATAGATTATTTCTCGTTGCTTCTTACTATTCAGTTGTAGTTCTGTTTATATGATTAATTTCTTTTATGTTGTATGCTTTCTAGCAGTGGATACATCAATTTCTTTTGCGACCTGAAAAATGAGTATTTATAAATATTTATTTAAGAACTGCGGAATAAGAATTAGACATGCAATCATATCATTCTGTTAAATTTCTTCTCATTATGAACTTATGCGCAGCTTAGAAACGAAACGATATTGATTTGATAGAGATATAGGCAAATCCTTGGCCAACAAAATGAAATATCTTACAAAGATAAACAATGATTGATTCAAATTACATGAACGTTTATTATACTTGAGAAAAAAAAATTAGTCTTTACATACATGAAAAGAACATGATTGAATTGAAAATCTCGAATAAGAAAACTCAAAGTTCGTTTTTTATTTTATAATTTATTCTAGTTGAATAGAGATTTTTCTTTCTTTATTCTCATTTCATGACTTTTATCATATTAGTTTTGATTTTAATTGTTATGAATGTAGAAAGATCTTTTGTATTCTAATGAAAAATGCATTTCCTCATTTTTGCTCTTATCTGTAACTCATTTGTCGTGTTGAAAAAGAAGGAGAGAAGTATGAACACACACACACATCTTCACCTCATCATTAATAAAGAAGAGAAAAGAAAAAGGAATTCTATGGAAACGTTATCATCATTTCTTTTTCTTTCACTTTTTTTCTGACAGTTAATCCAAGCAAGAAGAAAGACGTATTCACGCGATATTAATGGAAATCGAAGAACAACAAATAGAATCATCAAATAGCAAATTTAAGGTTCTTTTTTAAAGACATTTATATATCTAATCTCCAATTCATTGGATTTTATTTTATTTTTTTATAGAAATTTCGAAAACGTATTTTTCATCCGATTAGTCGTTATAGAAACAAAAATAAAGATGAACAACAAGCTAGTCTTCTGCAAGAACCAAATAAAAAAACTGATCCACCTATTCGAAATGAAGATTATGAAGCGTAAGTTTTTTTGGATTTATTTTAATATGAACCATTCCGCGTAACCGCCACGACCGAATCTGCTCAATCGATGGTCGCAAATTTGGCTTAATTTATATATATATATATTATAGCGACAAGTGTTTGATGGATTTTTATGCAAATCATTCGAAAAAATATTATTTTCTTGTCGAGATATTTAAATTTTTCCGAGATCACTATAGCCAAAAAAAGCACATTTTTTAGCGACTTTTTGTGACAGCAATATCTCATCCTGGATATATCTGTTTGGTTTGAAATTTTCAATGTAAATATATTACACGTTCAGGTATTTGCTATTAAAAAAATGAACTCAAATTGATAAGCCATTGGCGGGTTGACCAATGCTATCATGTACACAAAAAAGTCCTCATTTTTCGGTATTTTATACATATACATATTTCATAAGTGGGTTATGTTAAACAGTTGAAGTTTTGACCAGAGACGGAGCTCATTGATTAATAATTCCGATAAAAGTTTCGGCTTCTAGATAGGTCTTGACATTCAGAAGACTGTCACCAAAATCATGATATAGAACAATTTTTTATTCAGTATAAATCAATGCATGATTCTTTATTAATTAATACTAATGGTCTCTTTGAAAATGACATAAAATTTTTTGATCCTCAAACTCGAGAGCGGACATAGGAAATATAAAAAATACATTTTTTATTATTTTCAAAGAGGTCATTAGTGCCAATTAATAGAGAATTATGTGTTGATTTATATTGAATAAAAAATTGTCCCATATGTAGAAACTTTTCTGTCAGTTTCTGAACGATTTGGGTATATTAAGCATGAAAAAAGATCTATTTTGGGATTGTTTTTTGATAAGACTCTGCAGATTATTCTACAATGTTTTAGGCTGTTTCTTTCAGCACGCTGTAGTACTTAGTGTGTTGTTGAAAGACATACAATCTCGACTTCTATCAATCAGATTTTCTTCTAGATCAATCACTCCGAAAATCATGACTTGAGTGAAGGTCTCTTGAGTGTCAAGACCTATCTAGAAAGCTGAAATTTTTATCAGAATGATTAATCAATGAGATCTGTCTCTGGTCAAAGTTTCAACCCTTTAACATAACCCATTCATGAAATATGTATATGCACAAAATAGCAAAATCGACGACCGTCGATTGAGCAGGATCAGTCGTGGCGCTTACGCGCAATGTCTCATATTAAAAGAAAAAACGAAATTTTTAAGTACTGGCTTTGTTATTGATCCGCAAAATTATTTATATCATTATTGGCTTGGAATTATTTCAATTGCTGTTGCTTATAATCTACTTTTAATACCAGCTCGTTATGCATTTGATGATATGGATAAAAATTTACGAATTGTTTGGATTTCATTAGATTATATATTTGATGCTATTTATTTAATTGATATTTTTCTACAATCGAGAACAGGTTAGCAGAGAAAAAAAAATCCAATGAAAATATTTAATAAATAATTCAAATGATTATATTTAGGTCATTTTAGTCATGGTCTTTTTGTTCGTAATCATCATGTTTTATCACGAAAATATTTTACATCATATCAATTTTATATTCGTGATCTTTTATCAATACTTCCAACTGATCTTTTATATTTAAATCGACGTTTTCGTTTTATGTCAATTATTCGTTCAAATCGTTTTTTACGAATTCATCGTCTTTATGAATTTCAAGAATTAACAGAATCACGTACACGATTTCCAAATACATTTCGAGTTGGAATACTTATTTGTTTAACATTAACATTAATTCATTGGTAAGATAGAATAGTTTCTTTTTTTTTTATTTGTTCGAAAGAAAAAATATCTCGTTCAAAGGAATTGTTGTGTATATTTTCTTATTTGTCAACATTTGGGTTTTGGTAGTGATGAATGGGTATTACCAGAATCAGCTCACAATGAAACTGTTGCAATGCTTTATACATATTGTTTTTATTGGTCGACACTCTTATTAAGTACTATTGGCGATGTTCCATTGCCTGTTAAACAATCTGAATATGTATTTGTTTTGTTTGATTATTTCATTGGTATGTTTTATAAAAACAAATTTTCTATAACAAGATTTCAAGAAAATTGGATTTACATATTCTAGAGAAGTTTTAGCGATATATGTTCCGAATATTATTTTATCGACATCTTGAATCAGTCGATAAAACTAGAAACGCTATATCTATTGGAACATATTCAGATCATGACAGAAAGCAGAGAGAGTAACATCAGACTTCAAAAGATTTCAATATCTATTAAAAGCTGTTATTACAATCCCTAAGGAATTAAAATGTTAAACACAATGTAGTTGCTGCTGCTTACCACAGGGAGATTGTTTTATTCTATCTATTTTGTGACACATTTCTTTACTCATCCTTTTACTTAATCCTCTAGAGATGCTATAAAAAGACAGTTCATAATTTGTATATATAGGTGTACTTATATTTGCAACTATTATTGGTAATCTTGGTACAATGATATCATCTCAAAATCTATCAAGTAAAATAAATAAAATTTTCGAAAAAAAAAAATTCTTTTATATTATGTTCTATAGGACAACAAGTTAGTCAAAAAATGGATGAAATAAAACGTTATATGAAATTTCGTTCAGTTAATCGAAAACTTGAACGAAAAGTAATAAAATGGCTTGATTATTTATATACAAATCGACAAGTATTAAATGAAGAAAATGTTTTAAATTCTGATTTAAGTATTGAATTACGTAAAGATCTTGCTATTAAAGTACATCTAGAATCATTACAACAAGTTAAATTATTCAATGATTGTGAACCAAATTTACTTGTTGAACTTGTAAAAAAAATTCTTAAATAATAAAGAACGTTTTTTTAGTTTTCTTCAATATTCTTTTGTTTTTATAATTAGGTAACAAAATTAACACCAATATTCTTTGGTCCTGGAGATTATATTTGTCGAAAAGGTGATATTGGAAAAGAAATGTATATTATTAAACGTGGTCAATTAGGTGTTGTTAGTGATGATGGAAAAACAACATTTGTTACACTTAAAGAAGGTGCTGTTTTTGGTGAAATATCAATTTTAAATATTCCAGGTATAATTTTATAAATTTTTTTTCTTGTGAAACTCACTTATATTTTCGAAGAAAATAGTGAGATTTTGTGGCTCCCATTAGACAATAGCAACTGAGAGTGAGTGAAGAAAAGCCAAGGATCCTGCGACACGTAATCTGGCAGAAAGTGCTTTTATCTTCGGAGTGCTAGAAGTAGTGACCAGCGAAGGAGGGAGAAGAACGAAACCCATCATGATCCGGCGCCTTCCACAATAGACGACTTGCTACTGAGACGTCCCTTCCTCAATTCTCATCACTTCACAACAACGTTGTCTGCTTAGTTTTATTTTATATTTTGCCAGAGAACGGCAAATGGTGTTTCTGTCCAAAGTTACCACGAAGGTATAAAAAAAAATTGGCAGAAAGTCAAGCAGTTTGGGAGAGAAGAGCTTCTCGATCCCCTAATCGAGAACCCTGGAGGAAGTCAATGATCATTGGATAGGTTTTCCTAATAGATGGGAAAAAAGACGCGTCAGTAATAAAAATGCTTAAATCATTCTTGAATTTTCTAGAGTCTTCCAAAGTATTCTATGAATCTAAGAGTTTCTACTGTAGATTTTAACTAGGCTAAATATTCCAGGTTTTGATATTCAATGCAGAGAAAGGATCTTATTGTAAATGTCAATCAATAGAGTGAGGATATTATTAACCTAACAAAGTCAAAATAGAATAGACACAGAGAAGTATAAACTAATTGAATTCTAATTTTAGACAAAATTCAACAGTACGTGTTAAAATTGTCCGAGAAAAAGAGTGGTGTGCTCGAAAGAACCTAAGAAATTGGTAGAATAGGAATTCTAAATGCAAACATTTTCGAAATGATAAAATTTCAGAATGCATGTATCAACTATAAAAATTCTTATCATTTTCATTAATTTGACATTTTTTTTAAATAAATTATTTTTAATCCCATAACAGTTAGAGTTTGTGAATTTCACACTTTGATCTCTCATGAGACCGCATTGACAAGTTTTTTTTTTTGTTTTCTTTGAATTCAATAATAAAATTGAATGTTTAGGTTCAAAAAATGGTAATCGTCGTACAGCTAATGTTAAATCAATAGGTTATTCTGATTTGTATACATTACGAAAAGAAGATTTATGGCTTGTACTTGATAATTATCCAGAATCATTAGCAAAAATTATTGAAAAAGGTAAATCAATATTACGTAAAGATAATCTACTTGATGAAACACTAACTGATTCAAAACGATATATTGAACAAGATCAATTATTAAGTGTACAAAATCGTATTAAAAAATTAGTTGATCTTGATAAATCATTAAATGATCGTATTACAAAATTTTTAGAAACATATGTCGATTCAATAAGATTATTTAAACAACAATTATCAAAATTAGAATATAGTTATGGAGCAAGAAAACCAAGTGTTTCTTTATCATGTAATATTCCACCATCAGTATCAACACTTTGCCTACATGATAATCTATGGAGATACATCAATAGAGACAATATACTCAGACATGCAAGTGCACCATTTTTAACAATTGATCAATAATAAGACGACTATTGAAAGTTTTTCTTTTTTTTCATATCATTTCATGTTCGATATTGTTCTGTAGTAGAAATTATTCTTTTGAAGATGAATAAATTATTGAGTTATGTTACGAAATATTCAACTTTACTTTCTCTTATCATTAGTCATGTTTGTCGCAGATGCAAAATAAATTTTGCTGAAGAAAGAAAGAAAAGAAATTGTCGACTATACAAATTTTGCTGCAGTTTCTTCTATATAATCAATTGTAGGAGAACCTACGAAATTATTCTCGTTCATGATCACATGACTTCGCTTCTTCTAGAGGTCCGAAGTGAGCGAGTTATCTTACCTTTTCGCAGATAAGAAGATGTTCAAAAAAATCTTCTATCCATGTTCCTACTTCATTATTGCACTCGAGATGAAGTAAATACATGCGATGTTTCATAAATAGTGAAACACGGCGGATAATTTTTCTCTGTTCGATGTGTTCGCACATCGGACTTTTTAAAATAGAAAAAATAAAAGGAAATCTAGTTGTACAAGTTATTCTACTTTACTGGAGTTACTTAATCACAATGTTCAATCAGTGTTTGAAGACACACAATCTCGAAAGTCTCATATGGAACATGGTTCGATTAGAATTTTGTCATCGAAATATAATATACTTCTCAATAGAAGTAACCTGATATTATCAAAACCGAGTATTTTTTATTCCAGAATAAGCAATCGATTCTATTGAACAAATGAATAAATAGACCTATAAATATCAGATCTCTTAAAACTATGAAAATTTTTATAAGAATATATACGAGTGTATCCATCTAAAAGAGCCCATGTTCGGTCAAGGTTAAAGTGAACATTTTTCAACACAAAGGAGTCATTTTCCTTCATTTACAATTTTTATGTATATTGTCGTGTAGATTACACCGATATATATCTCATGAATTCTGAATTATAATGAGAAAGATTTGTAATTTCGTGGTAAAATCAAGTGTTTGCAAAATGAATATCATCTAAAAAATTACTTGTAGCTTCATATTGTATTCTGAACACTGGTGTGTATGTTACCACAAATGAAAACAAAAGACATAGGATAATTTAATTCTTTCAAGAGTCTCCAAAATTTGACATCGACTTTAACAGAATAGAATGGAACATTCAGAGCTTCTAGAACTCGTATCTATAAGCGTAGCTATGGTTTCAGAAAAATTTGAAAATCTTGTAAATGGGACCAAAAGGTGAAGACATGTTGGGTAATTCAGTTAAAATGAACCTTGTCTAGCTCTTGTTTCAAATAATACAAATCTGAAAATTTTTTCATAGATACTAATTTTTTGTAGGGGATGTTTTTTTTCTCCTATGTTCTGATTTTCGGGGAACTGCTACAGAAAATCTAACAACAAATACTAATTTTTGATAGTTTTTTGTGCTCAAGTATCTCAGTGAAGTTCCAACAGAATTTCAAATTTTTATTAATGCTCCTTAATTGGCAAACGGTCCACTATGTAACACTGAAACTCGATGATCTATAGTTGTTTCCTTTTACTGAATGTTAACAGTATTCTTGGAATTTACTTTCCAATTTTTTCACAACTTTGTACGCCCTTCACGAAAAACTATAGGATTTCCATAATCTGTTCTACAGTGGAGCTTCATAAGGAAACCTAGTTCTATCATTCCTAAATTTTTCATCTTTGGATTATGTGGTTTCGCCGAAAAAACCGATCTTGAAGTTTTTAGAATAAAATGACTCTTATAGCTTAAATGTTATAAAAAAGTTCAGGGTTGCTTCTGATTGTGAAATTGTATTGGCCAAAGACGAAAACTTTACCCAAGAAAGAGCTAGCTTTGGTTATAAGGTTCCATTGCAGGACAGATTTTGAAAATACCGTGGCTTTTCCTAAATGGAACACAAAGTCGCAAAAATTTCGAAGTTAGGTCCTGAACATGGCTTTACGATTCGATCTAGGAACAAGCTATAGTTCTGGGAGTTTCATCGTCAGATAGAAGATTGTTAGCAAATTAGGTAGCATCAATAAAAATTTGAAATTCTGCTTGGACTTCACAGAGATACCTGAGTACAAAAGACGTCAAGAATTACTATTTTTTGTAGGATTCTTTATATCGATTCGTCAAAAAAGAGAAGATAGAAAAACAAAGCGTCAGCAACAAGTATTCAAGATATGAGATTTTCGAGGTGATGTCTTCAAACATTTGATTGGATATCATGATCAAGTAACTGTAGCAAAGTAGAATAACTTGTTTTTTTTCTATTTTTAAAAAGTTCGATGTGCGAACACATCGAACAGAGAAAAATTATCCGCCGTGTTTCACTATTTGTGAAACATCGCATGTATTTACTTCATCTCGAGTGCAATAATGAAGTAGGAACATGGATAGAAGATTTTTTTGAACGTCTTCTTATCTGCGGAAAGGTAAGATAACTCGCTCACTTCGGACCTCTAGAAGAAGCAAAGTCATGTGATCATGAACGAGAATAATTCATAGGTTCTCCTACAATTGACTATATAGAAGAAACTGCAGCAAAATTTGCATAGTCGACAATTTCTTTTCTTTCTTTTCGATGAAAATGATTCATTTAACCTATTTATATTCTTTCTTTCATCAAAACTGTTTTGCGTCTGAGGCAAATATGACTAATGATAAGAAAAAACAAAGTTGGACATTGTATGACATAACCCAATAGTGAAAGAGACAAGAAAATCGAGCGCATAATATTTCAACTATAATATTTGAACCCCTTATTTAAATATCAAGTGTATGTTGATGAAAAAATACAAAAGTAGGACGAGCATTTGTTTTTGGCTGAGCATGTAGATTACAGAAGATAAACGAACACCATAATCGAATTCAGATCTATTAATTTTAGTAAACTGAATAACTTATTTCATATCGATGGGAAAACTTCAATGGATATGTGTACAGCAGGAAGTTTCTTTTCCGAGCGTATCAAAGTTTCCATTGAGTTCATCGAAATACATCGGAAGTTTGAGAGCTTGTAGGAATTCTTCCTATAAGTATTGCTACGAGCTCTGAAAAGCTTCAAAACTTTGTAAATGGAAGCAATGGGGGCAGGAGTGACCGATTGGTTTATCCAGTCAAAATGGACCTTGTCTCGCTCTTTTATTTCAAATGATAGAAGTCTGAAAGTTTTATTATAGGTACTAGTCGTTGGGACTGTTGTTTTTGCTTGCATTCTGTTTTTAAGAGAATCGATACAGAAAATGCTAAGTTTTTATGTGTTTCGGGCTCAAGTGTGTCTGTGAAGTTCAAACAGTGTTTCAGTTTTTATTAGTACTCTAGAATAGTCTAAGTGTTCTCTATCTAACTCTGAAACTTCCATATCTGTAGTTTGTCCCTGGACCAAATGACAAAGTCATGTTTACAATCTACGTTTGAATTATTTGCAATTTTGCACTATCTCGAAAAAAATATACCTCTCATGATATTGTTATTTTTGATTTCAGACCGTCACACATTGTGTAAAGTACGACGTTGACAGAAGGTACTGTCTGGTAATGATAGCTTTTCTCAAAAATGAAAAATGAAATCGTAATAGGAAATTTGAAAGCATTACGGAAATGGAAATCAAGAAAAACTCGTTCCCGTAGGGCACTACCGATCGATCGTCAATACCGCTTCTATCTTTGCCAGTTTCGGCCAATTAGTTGTAGTCGAGTCTACGATAATTGATCTATGTGAAAAACAGTAGAGAAATTTACAACAAAGCAACAAAAGCTTTCAGCTATATGAAAAAGGAAAAAGAATATCAGTTGATAAATTATCTTTAGTCTTTCTAATTTTTGTGGTAGTACCATGTAAAAGTAAAATGGGCGTCGATTATTTTCCAGGGCATTTACTTTTAAGCGGCAGAAAAGTAAACAAAAAATAAAAGGTGAGTATGGGTTTGGATGTTCCTATGAATCTTCTTGCATTCCCTACATTCATATCTAAAATTTTAGATTTGAAAAGAAATTCTCGTTCAAATGCTGTATATATCCGAGAAACATATACTTCTTTGCAATGATATGCAATTGACTAATAGCGTCTTCCGTCTTTTTTTTGTATTGGTCTACCTTGTTCATCTGAGTTGAAGCTTTTGTTATAAATTTCTTGACTATTTTTCTCTTTCCAGTTGTAGTGCTAAATACATGCGGGTAAGTTTTGCTAGGAAATTTTCACAGCACTTAACTATGAATAGTTATTAATTAAATTGGAAACATTTTGTTTATTATATTTGATATTCAACGAATACAATCCGCTTTGTATATGAAACTTATGATGATTATTGATGTCGATATAATATTCATAGATACTGAATATTGATTATGTTTATTAACTATTCAACAAGATAAATGTAAAAAACAAACTCATAGTCTTACATTCTCTATAGACTTTTCTACGAATGTTCAATCTTGTTTTCTATTAATTATTCTAATACGTGATTATTCACTATTTCAACTATAATCAATTCAGTCAGGTGTAAATTTGATAATCGTTACTATTAGAAGAATCAATAATTATGAAAGTTTCTGTCATATAGTGAAAACAAATATATTCAATACTATATTTGTTTTCTTTCCTTTTCTTTCGTTCTCTTTAGTTTTTGTTATACATTCTGAGTAGCTAGATAATACATATATTGTTTCGTTCTTTGTCCTATGTCTAGTCTCATATTACGTATTTCTTTTTGATTTTTTTCTTTGTATTGCGTTTTTTCTTTTTCATATTTTTCTCATATGATTGCGACAATTTGTTGCGACATTATCTTTTGTTCTTGTTACTGTTTAACACGTCAATAAACTGATATTGACTTATTTCTTCTTCTTCATTGATCCGCAGCACAAGACGTGACAGTTTCTAATATCAATAGTAAATAAATATGACAAGGACTTCTACATACGCCATCTGTAAATTCTGGTTTCTGATTCGTCGATTATATTATATTCAAAATAGGAAGAGGAGGAGAGCACTATGGGAAAAACAAACAAAATTTTGTTCTGTTCGCATAATAGAACAGACCATTCAAGTATCAGCATATATATGAATCAGCATTCAATACATATTTGTTCACATGATGTACATTTAAGTAAATTTTTTGTTGATATATTTATATAATTATCTATGAAAACTTTCATAATCTAGATGAACCAAACCATCCATACATATCATCCACCATGGAACATACAAAACTTAAATTCGACCCTATGACCCACCCAATGATTTGCGGCATTTTACGAAACGTGATGATCGTTGTGCTTTTGTTGTACTTACTGACATTGAATGACTTTTTTTTAATTGAAAAGTTGTTACTATCAAGAAAATCACTACGTTATTAACTCACTAGAGTTTTCATTATACAAAATTTGTTATTTGATTTGTTTTAGATATATATATTTTTTTCTTTTTTTTAATTCAAAACAATGCTCAAATCACAATCGACTGAAACAGTGAATACACGATTAGATGGTGAATTTTGTCGAAATGCATGTGGATTTTATGGAAATAAAATATGGGATGGATTTTGTAGTAAATGTTATCGAGAAGTTTATCAACAAGCTAAACAAATTCAACAATCATATGATGGAAAATCAAAGTAAGAAAATTTTGTGACCTTGAAAGAAAGAAAAAAAAGATTTATTTAACTTTCTTTTGATAAAAAAAATCATCCATTAAGGGTTTAATGACGAATGAATTAAGTTAAATAACGAAAACAAAAACCAATGAATGATTGGACGCTATAAGTAATAGAGTCACACTATGCAAAAAAAAAGTAGATCTATGACTAGGGGTGTGCGAGAACCAATTTTTTTTGGTCCCAATCTAGAGAAAACTATTCCAGAATTTATTCATATGACACTTCAATACTCGTTTTTTTGATTTGTTTAATCGATGATTAGCACTTTTTTTGGATCATCTCTCTTGAATTATGTTTTGATTCATAAAATATTTTACTATAAACTTGAATTCCGGTTCTGGCTAATATTTTTCTCGTGATTTCGATTTCGTACATTTTTATTCATGAACTAAGCTAGAGGTCAAGTGAAAATGGCATTGTCAAAAAAAAAAAAACAAAAGAAAAGTCAAATATAATTTGATTAATAAATTGTTAGTCCTATAGAAATTTTTCATCTTTGACAAATATAAGTTAATACTTATTATTTCGTTGTTTATTATTATTAATAGCAACTTGAAATCAATCGAAAATTATCGAATTTTTCGTTCTAGCTAACAGTGAATTAATTTGAACTTCTAAATACATAATATTTAGTAAATTATTACGAGATTGTTGTTTTGTTCATTACGTATTGGAAGGTTTAATATTTAAAAGGTCTTAAATTAAAGATTCAATAATGCTCCTTCGAAGATTATACATCACATAAGTTGAATATCACAAATCAAAGATGAGAGATATTTAATTTTATTATATTCTATCATCGTTTCTTATTTAAGTACACCGATATCTGTTACTACTCCATCATTATCTTCACCACTTAATAATCTTAATGAAAGACGTCGTTCAAATATCATTATACGGAATCCAATTCGACAAATGGTTAATCGAGCTGGTAATCTTCGTTGTATGTTCGAAAAACTCCATTGCATTTTATTTTTTGTCTAAAAAACAAAAATTTCATTTTATTTTCATAGCATCAAGTAGTTCAGTAATTTCAGCGTTAATAAATGATGAACAAACAGTAGAAAATGAAACAGCAAGTAAACATTTAGATATAATGACAACAGATGATGCACGTGTCGATATAAAATCTCAAGTAAAAACATTTGCAAATAATTTTCATAAAAAATGTTCAAATAAAAATGTTCATCTTGATACACTTATACAAGATTATGGAACGTTTAAAGATACAATTAAGAAAAGAATACAAACTAATTCAATTTATCGAGGTAAAATAACAATACAAAGAAATTAATTTTTTTTGTATATCAAAAATTTTGTTTTCTGTTTTTTTTCTTATATACAGATGAAAATGAAGATTTAATTCATCGTGTTCGTGATTATGTTGAAAGTATTATTTTTTCAAAAGATTATTCATTAATATTTAATCGTATTGCTATCGAATGTGAAGAACAAGATTTATCCATACAAAATCGAATATCATCTCTTCATTGGGTAACACCAACAATGTTAGATAGCGTTCTCAATGAAGATGTTCCTAATGTTCGAGAAACAATTTATAAAGCAATGAATGGTAAGTCTTTGTATTTTTTTATTTTATTTATTTATTAAACTATGACGAGAAAGTCTTGACACAAAATATTCACTCATTTTTCGGCTACTAACAGACAACTGGTTAATAGAGTTCATGTCCGAAAATCTTGGACTTGACAGACGTCTCAGAAATATGTATGGTGCGCTAGTCTCTGAATACAAAAAATGGGAACAAGTATCTCATACCTTCGGAACGACTATCCAATTCTTATTAGAAAGTTTCAATGAGAGCATCAAAGCACGATTCGACCGGGTCTGGATCTCGAAATGTTGAGTAAACCGCGCTCGGATCCGATAAGATCTACTGATTAAAGCCAAAAGCAGTTAGTTAGAATCAGAAGTTTTCGCTCTTTCGTAATTTGAATAACTATCAATAAATTTTGTGAAAATGTCCAAAATAGTGTCTGCACTAGAGGCCCATTGAGTCCGAGTCTAAAAATTTTGAATCGTCCGGATCCGGATCCACAAAATTTTGAACCCAATGGGCTCTTCCGACAAAAGATTAATCAATCAGGTTCAAATTCAAAATTTTCATCGATCGGTTACAGATCCAAAAAAACTTTAATCGGCCGAGTCTGGGTCTGAAAATTCTTGGATCAGGTGAGCTCTAGTTCGCACAAAGCAAAATAGTCGTTTTAGTGCAATTCTTAATTTGCGAAACAACTTCAACTCAACGTTATTGTAGAACATTGAATTCTGTATAAAATAAGATATTATAATAAGTGAAATCTCATATATGCATTTTCACTAAACCGCTAGTTTCTATGAAAATTGGTATTAATTAAAAAACCGTTGTGTTAAAAGTTGCTCTTAAAAGTACAAAAGTTTTAAAATCTATCATGCAAAAGTAAATAGCATATTTTGTAGAGCAAATTTTGTTCTACAAAATCTCATCATTAAAGGCTGTTATGTTGAATCTTTTGAAATAGCCGGATGATAGTTGTTCAACTTTATTTCAGAACAATATTCTAAACACGTATTCGGAAAGAACAAAAATGTTTGATTCTAACTAACTGTGTGTGGCTCTAATCAGTTGTTTTCAAGTTTCCAAAAAAATGAGTGAATATCTTGTACCAAGACTTTCATACCAAAGATTGAATCTAAACAAAGAATTCTGTTGTTTTTTTTCTAACCTTAATTAGCTTTAATTGAACTTGATGCTAAAACAACTCCACAAGGAAAAATTCATTCAATAATGGAATGTAAATCTTTTATTGAAGAAGCTTTACAATCAAGTAGTGGAATAACAATAAATGCTGATCGTTTTCTTCCAGCACTTATTTATGTTGTATTAAGAGCTAAACCACCTCGATTGCATTCAAATATACAATTTTTAAGTAATTTTTCTCAACCAAATGGTGAACAACTTTATTATTTAGCTAATCTTGTATGTTCATAAGCAAAAAACAAAAAGGAAGCCTATAACGAACTATTATTAATTTATTTTGTTTTTCAGGATTCAGCTGTTCGTTTTATTGGACTTTTAGAAGCTGAACATCTTGGTTTATCATCAAATGATTTTTCATTATATATGCGTGGTGAACCAGTATTACCATCAAAATTTGTTTCTGTTTTTGATTATTCATTAGAAAATGATGTAAATATTCAACAATTTAGACAAATGTCTATACAATATGATCAAACTGAACATAATTGTGAAAAATTTAATGAAAATATTCTCGATTTTAATCGACGTTTAATGCAAACAGTAACAGATATAAATGAATTATTAAATGGTTCATATACACGTTTTTCATATTTTGAACAAATTCCACAATTAATTCAATGTGAAAATAATGTCAAAAACATCAATCATATTTTAGATCAATCAACAACAGATAATGAACATTTACCAGAACCATTAGCACCTGACATTGTCATACAACAAAATATAAAACAGTGACATTTTATCGATTAAACTTCTGGTATAGAGATCTGCAGAATAACGTAAAAAAGTCATCCCATCATCGCCTTTCCCATTCTAGCTTATAATACCGGTGTCTTAAGAGAGGACTTTTTTTTCAAGTATTGAAATTAAATAAGTACGTTTGTAGATTATCGCACTTCCAAAGGACATGATAGTTTACATAGTTTAACATGACGATCATATATGTTCGTATTGTATGTCAAATAATACGATGATTTATGCAGACAAAAGTGCTTCCGTAATATCTTCATAACGAAGGTTGTATAAAGGATAGATCGAAATTTTTAAGACAGAATATTTGTTTATTCTTGACTACCTTGACAAGATTGTCGGTAATGTCAAAATCTATAGATTATTGTGTGTCATTATCTACTCTCATTGCTTAGTTGAATTGACCGTTTATACATAATGTTTAACCTTCTCTTATCATTGCTTGTTATTATATGCTTTGTCCTTGCTTCTTTCGTAACTATGTATCGTTAACTATTTTATTGTTTGGTGTGACGACATCAATACATCTGTCCTCTTTCTATTATTCCTACCTTCCTTTCGTTCTTTTCTCGCTCCTGGTTGTTCATATATAAACGCATGGTTTTGTATGGAAGCGATGCGATTGATGATATGAAGAAAGAGAATAGAGCATAACTCCTCCCTTCGAATTAATACTTCTATCAAAAAAAGTGTTATATATATATGATCTTTATTGCTGTATATACAATCACAGACATATATGATCGTAATAGTGAACTATATGAACTGTCAAACATATTTAGACTTCGTATTTTTTTTCTCTTATGAATACATCAACTTCACTAATTCATTTCCATGACATCTAAAAAAGTAAATAAAATGTATATATAGACTATTTCAAAATACAAGAAATTAATAACAATAATGAATTTGTATAGATTTAGTTGTGTTCTTTTCAAAAAAAAGAAATGTAGTATTGTCAGAAGACTGGGAAAATCATCAAATCTCACTATGTTCTGCTACCGAAAACTCAAACTGAAGTTTGCGGAAGGACATATCTATACGACATTGATATTAGTAGATCTCTGTTCCAGTGTTTATTTGTAATCGAACAGCGCTTATGTACATACATCTGTGTATTTGGTTTTTTGTTGTTTATTGAAATTGTATATTTTATTGATATTTTTCTTCTCGATGTAGTAACAAATAAGATAGAAGAATATTATTATTTTTTTGTTCGCCATTGTCTACAACAATTTTATTGGATACTTGAAATCAATTTTCGATATACTTAACTTATAGCAAAATGACAAGATTTATAGAGCTCATACTCATAGAGTTTGTTTCAAGATAATAGCTGAAAATTTTTTGAATCATTTTTACATGACAAGATAGGACAAACTGAAATTTCTTGTTTGATCAAGATTCTATTGGTAAAGAATTTTGAATAAATGTAATTAGGGATGTGTAGTTTTAGTTTACTGACCACCGACTTACGAGAAAATCTCTCCGAATATCGAATCGTTTTTCGACTGAGACGATGTTTATTTGATGAGTACTAGAGAGTAATAAAGGAGTTTAGAATGTTTTGGCTTTTCATTCTTGAGATTAGTTGATTGTACAAGTTTTAGCTTTTCTAGTATTTCCTTTCTGGAAATGTAAATATAAAAACAATATTTGTTTTTACACATGAAGAAATTTCGAATATTGAATATCTCAGGAGAGAAGATACTAGAAAACTTACAACTTGTCCTATAAACTAATCTCATTGAAAGCTTTGCTTGTGCACAGTTTGTAGTCGAAAGTCGATTTTTCATGTCATTTGATGAGGATCACAACTTTTTGTTGAAAATTCTGCTTAGAGAATGAAGGCCAGGAAAAGCAAACAACTCTACACTTGTTTATTACTTATTAATACTCATCAAACAAACATCGTCTCCGTCGAAAAATTATCTGATATCTAGAGAGTTTCCCTTGTCAATGTAGTTAATATAATCTGGCATGACTGTTCAGTAAAGCATTGAAACATACTGCAACAAAAAGGATATATTTGGATAGCGTTTGTGTTCGAATGTTGCAGCAAACACGGGTGTTAGTGACCTAGTAAGTTCCGTGTTGGAGGCTTACTGTTCAATGTTTACACTAACAATGAACATTCTCGAATGCAATTTGAAGAGGTTAATTCTATTTAAAAACTTGCTTCATTTCCTATATGATAATAATTAATCGAATATTTTAAACCAAAGAAGAAGACACTTTTGATCACCAACTTTTCTCAGGATTCATTCAACATTATTATTTGTCAATCAAGTATAGGTGCTATTCTAGATTGACAACAACCGTACCTTCATTCTATAGTGTTTTCCACTATCAATCAAACCAATTACATAGTTAAGGATATCGTTGGCCTGGATTAAAACCAAAGTATGATGCTTCTCCAGCTCAGCGACACCATAACACTCACACTCTTTGATATGCTCTACCAGTTTGATCAATTAATGTATAGGATGTCGTCGACCTGAAGAAGAATTATACTTTTAAATGTATATGTAGTTGTTCTACAGATAGATGTACTCCATTCACTATTTGCTTTAATTAATCAGTTTGATCCCCGAAAATAAAGAGCTGAATGTAGATTGTGTACCTTTCACTAGAAGTATTTTACGTTGATCTTATTCGATGAATTTAGTAGCATGTAGTTTTTTATGTGTCATAACTTAATCAGTGAAATCACCTCTAATCATTAAATTTAGTAGAACAGTTGACATGAACATTTCGAAAAATTTTCAGACATTAACTTCCAATAAAACGATTGTATGTCAAGTATCACGACTGTTATTTTGATATAGTCTAAATATATTTGAACTTAAAAAGTTATTTATGCTCATAGTTTATCATTGAAATTATTTTTTTTTAACAAAAAAAGCATTCATTTTGTTTATTCATTATAATGACAAGGATCCTATTTCAACATTTAATTCTTATATGAAATTTGATCTTAGCTAATGTTTATCAATCATTCGTTTAACGAGAGTAATTCAATCTAAAGAATGATAATTTGTTTTTTTTTCTTTGCTTTTATAAGTATACATTCGATTCTTCAATTTTTTTTTCATTTTAAAATAAAATTCTACAATGTATAGATTCGTTCGTTTTATAACGTTGTTCATTTTAATTAGTTTACTTAATAATACTGATAATTTGTTATTTAAATCTCGATTATCAACAATTAAAATTGGTTCATTTAATTTACGTCGATATTCTTTAGCTAAAGCTACATCAACAAATGCAGTTAATACGCATATATCAAAAATTCTTCAACGATATGATCTTATTTTTCTTCAGGAAATAATTGATACATCAAATGATAATCAAGTTGTTAATCTTCTTTTAAATCATATTGATAAAAAATCAAAAATCAAAAAATATGCTGCTATTATATCACCACCACTTGGTTCAACATCATATAAAGAACGTTTAGTTTATTTATATAAAAAAAAATCTTCAAAAATTAAAATTCTTTCATCTTATGTTTATAATGGATCAGTTAGTAAAATGTTTGAACGTCAACCATTTATTCTTCATATAGAATTATCATCATTTGGAAAAATCATATTTATTGGTACTCATCTTAAACCAGATAGTGTTTATGATGAATTTCGTCATTTACGTACGGTTATTGATCAATTAAAAGAAAAATCTTCAATAATATTATTAGGTGATTTTAATGCTGATTGTTCATATTTAAATAATGTTAAAAAGAAAGAAATGAGAAATACATATTTTAGTGAATTTCAATGGTTAATTGATGATCGAACTGAAACAAATTTACTTGAATCATGTTCATATGATAGAATAATAGTTTCATCAGGTATTAATCAATGGAAAAAAGTCAATTGGAAACCAAAGACTAATGGAACATTTCAATTTGATAAAAAATTTAAATTAACTAAAAAATTAGCCTTACAAATTAGTGATCATTATCCAGTTGAAGTTGATATTTATTAAAACAATAATAACATTTCAATATTTTCATTAGATTCTATTTTAACAAAAGAAAGAACACACGAACATTTTCATTAATAAATATAATTATTCGTATTGAAGAAATCATAACCTACTGTGCATTTCTGCATCGTCGTTTTCTTTTCAAAATCTTCAAATTAGTTTGTATTTTTCTCTAAAAATTATATTATTGCAAATACTGGACATAACACCCGTTTTAAGGATGTGGTATGCTTATATTTTATTCTAGTTATTGAAACGAAATCAGATGAAAAGAAATCAATATAATTGATAACATCAACAAAATCAATATAATTGATAACATCAACAAAATCAATATAATTGATAACATCAACAAAATCAATCCTTTCAAGATGTTTACAAATTGCAGAAAAACTGTAAATAATGCCAAAAAATTTCAAATACTTCCTGTAATTGAATACGAGTTCCTATTGAATAGAGTTCATGTTGGATAAGCGTATAGTTGTGTTTCATAGTTTGTGGTGAGATAAATAAGATGATCTTATTAGATATGAACTTATTTTATATAACATAAGAATAATAATGAAACTATTTGAACTTTATCAAAACTATTCGTCCGAGTTCTGAGAAAAAGTATTCACTCAATATAAAAATCAGAACAGTGGTCTGAAAGTGAATCTTTTAGCAGTGCCTGCTAATCAGGTATGGTTTTCCAATTATCTTTTAGACGAGTTGTTTTGATTGAATTTTGTAGAGAATTATTTGGACTATCTTTTGAAGAAAAAAAACGAATATTTAAATCAAAGCTCTGAACACTGACGAGGGAACATATCCAACTTTCGAACGTCCTTTAAGCCTATATTTTAATTATGAGGAGAACTCAGTGAGACTAAGAAAAATCTAAAAGGATTCGAGTCTATACCGTGCCTAGACGGCTAACTTGTTGTCACATAAGTGTAAGAAAATGGTATTTTTTTCCATTTTTTTTCTTTATTCTAATAAATTGACATCTGCAATAGTTAGCATACAATTTTCATTTGATATATGAGGTAGAGTCATTTTTATTTAAGAAGGTCTAATCCATTGATGGAATCGACATCAGTTATTGACCAGTCTGGCCTGATCAATCTCAAGATAATGTTTATTTAAGTTTATCATGTAGCGTAAAAGTTAATGCAAGCTTTTTCTTTCTTTTTTTTCTTGTACACAGTGACAGTAAGAAAAGCTAACTGATGGATTACTATTCTTTGATGTATCACCGAGTATATCTCTACAATCAAAAGTAACATCGGTCTTCATTGTATTTGATGAGCAAGATTTAAGATTTTGATTTATTATGTAAAACTATTGCTTTAGAGTGTTGGACAGATCAAGAATCAGTCTCCTTAGAACTTCACATGCCTGGAAGAGATGCAATTAAGGTAGCTACGGTAATTTTTGAGACAGATACACCATTTGTCTCCTATACTATTATTAGATTAGCGATTTCAAAGATATTTTTAAGGAATCCCATTTTGAAGCCGTTCTTTCTTGCTTTTATTAATCTAGAACATAACTAGACCGCCAGTTTCGATTCTGGGCAGTTTTTAGAATCTGCAGGCCTCGATATACAGTTCAGTTGTTGTCGAAAAAAGAGCTTTCGTCACAGATTAATTTGTCAAACAAATTAGATCTAATTCAGATCCAACAGCTGTTAATAATATCTTATTTCTTTGTTCGATAGAGAATAACAAAATAAAAGATTGATTGATCTCAAGCTGTCTCTTTTTTGTGCTCCTGTATCTAATTGTTGTACTCTTGTGTCTTTTTGTTGCAATATATACTTGAATAAATCACATGATCAAAATAGAAACTTAACGAGGCAGCGAAGAAAAAAATTACAGTCGGGGCGGGGCGAAGTGAAGAAAGCTTTTTTCAGGATGGGGCGGAGAACAAAAAATTTTTCCCGTTTCGGTCTCTTAAAAATGAATCACATTATTGAAGAAAGTTTAAATTAAAGCAGAATATATCGATTTATTTAAGAAATAAATTCAATAAAAACAACATCAATATAATCAATCATTTATGTTTATATATAAAATAGATTTCGAAATCTTTGTCTGAAGAAAAAATAATTATTTATTATATATAGTATATAAAGAGAATAAAATTTTAATTTTCATTTGTATCTTTCATTTGTATTAATTCTTTTGTTGAACTTGCACTTGTTGGTCGAGATTGTTTAGATTTTAATTGTTGTTGTAATTGTTGTGTCCAACTAATCATTGTCTCAACTGGATCTTTTGTTTTTAATGTTGAATTATTTTGTTCATTTATATCAACCGCATAAATACGTTTTTGTTCTAATTCTTTTTGTTTTTGTTTTGCCATAAATACAGAAGCAAACGATCGAATATGTGTATTATCAGGTGTTTTACTTTGATCTAATGAACGATATCCATTAGATTGAGGATTTGATGGAATTTCATTACGTAATTGTTCTGGATTCCATACTGTATTCATAATATGATAATTAATTCCTTTATTTGTTGTACCAGGCATTATAATTTGTTTTATTATTAAATTATTTTCATTTGTAGGTGAATCAGGTAAACGAAAATTATTCATATCAATATCATCATCATCATGATTTAAACAACATTTAAAACGATACCATGGACATTCAATAGAAGCAGATATTTCATCCCATGGTAAATCTGATAATGTTAATAATACTACTAAACAACATACAACACCAAAAACAGTCCAAAATGCAGCTGAACGTTGATTTTTTGTTGGATCAGAATCAGCTATAACAACAAAAATCATTTTAATTGTTTTTTTCTTTTAAATTTTAAAAAAATATACGTGTTTCACAATTTGATCCATGAAAAAATATATCTGAACAATCACATGTATAATTATTATAACCATCAGTACATTGTCCCCCATGTTGACAGGGTGACGATAAACATTCATCAATTTGTTGTTCACACATTGCTCCAGTAAATCCTGCTGCACAAATACAAAGTTCTCGACCAACATTTAAATAACATGTGGCATTATTTTGACATGCATTATTTGTTTCACATTGTTCTATAATTAATTTCAAAGAAGTAAAAATTTTTATAATAAATCAATTCTAACCTTGATATTCACAAATAAAAGGTAATAATTTATTATTGATATCATCACTTATGTCATAAGTAGTCTGAGCTGTATCATAGAAAATTTGATAATATGATCCATTACGATTAAGTATTTGATCACTTGAATTGAAATACCATGTTATTGATTGATTTGACCAACTCCATGATGATGACACAACAACACCATCAATCCAAAATTGACTTTGTATGCCCCAAGCTAATATTAACAAAACAAAAAAAAACAATACACAATTTCATAGAGAAAATAAAAAAAACACATCTGTTTATCAAATAAATAAAAACCTTTCATCCAAAAAAATAACGATTTTATTTCAGTAGCCGATTCCAATGCAACCAAATGAGTAATATAACCTGTTTGATTAATTCCTAATGTGTTTGCATCATTAATACAATATTGTCGAGCATCAGACCATGCCATATGTGTACCATTGTACATTTTATAACATCCATTGAATATTAAATTATATGATGATGGACAAACGATTGTTTCGCTTATGTTAAATAAAATGCATAATAAATTTCCGATTATGATAAAAGACTAAATAGGCGAAAAACAAAAAGAATTAAAATATCTTTTCTAATTAAATAAATACACTTACTAAAAACGACATTTTTTTTTCGGTGATATTATTTTACTTACAATAGTTATAAGATAAATTGAATAGAGTAAAAAAGACTAACTGATGATAAGGAAGAATTGGCAGAAGTAATAGTTAGTAGGTGTTCGATGTCCCTTGTTGATGACGTGCGTATGTGTGTACGTCCCAAGACCGAACGGAAATGAATAATAAAATAGATGACAAATTGTGTGTGTGTGTTTTCTTTCTTCTTTTTTTTTCACACTTAAGCAAAAGAAAATGATGGAGAGGAAAAAACGAGTTTTCCCTCTTACTTTTTTCTATTGCCAATTGATTTGATTTACGTGCGTGTTATTAATAACGAGTGACAAAAAAAAGTAGAAAATATTTTCTTAATTTCAATTATATGACATTGAAACAAGTAAGAAAGAAAAAAAAATGAACAAGATAATATAATTCAACTAACGAGGGAACCTTTTCAACTGTCCAATCGCTTTTGAGTTCGAACTCAGTGTGAAAGATAGACCCCAGTGAGGTATGAAAAGGCCCAAAAGGATAAGTGCCCATAGGCCTTCTGTCCAGAGTTATAGGCATTTTACTGGATTTTTAGCCTATGGCACAGTATATACCAAAAAATCGAATGACAATATTTCGAGCTGAGATTATGTCCAACGATAGGTCTATGTACCAATAGAATGCCCTGAAAATTTCAGCTCAAAAGAATGTTTCAATCTCGGGATATTAAACTCCCAAAAATCACGCATATCCCGCGAATGATGCTAGAATTTTTTGGCTTTTGGGTGTTCAATATCTCGAGATTGGAACATTCTTTTGAGCTGAAATTTTCAGGGCATTCTATTGGTACATAGACCTATCTTTGGACATAATCTCAGCTCGAAATATTGTCATTCGATTTTTTGGTATATACTGTGCCATAGGCTAAAAATCTAGTAAAATGCCTATAACTCTGGACGGAAGGCCTATGGGCACTTATCCTTTTGGGCCTTTTCATACCTCACTGGGGTCTATCTTTCAAACTGAGTTCGAACTCAAAAACGATTGGACAGTTGAATAGGTTCCCTCGTAAGACTCAATTTTGATAGTCATTAGAGATTGTTGACGTAATATTTAACAGCAATATATATTTGATCATTTTACGTAAAAGTATTCTTTTTTTTTATGAACATTACACTCTTAAAAATGATATTTAAATATTCAGAATACAAAAATAAGAAAAAGTTAATATTAAAATTAAGATTTAAAGTTTGCAAGTATAATTTAAAGAGAAAAAGTTGAGCACATTTGTATATTTGAGATATTTTCTTAATCGTAATAGCAAGAATGAATCGAACAAACTTATGAGAAACTGAAATGATTTCCTATTAGGAAAATTATTTTTCCAATTTAAAAACGTTTAAAAGAAATGGCTCTGTTGTAAAATCAAGATCTTTGAAAACCAGTTATCTGAATTCGACTGAAAATGTTTTACGAATAAACATTCTTGATAGTACAAACAGTTCTGAGCAAAATGAGACATTCACCAGCATTTCATCATCAAACTGAATTTAATTTACGGAAGGTGTCGAAATCATTTTTTTTCATTGTCTTTTCAAAAGTTTGCTATGTTTTACGTTTCGAGATCTTCCATAAATGGAGCGGGAAGAGTTTGGAAGCATGTCATTTTGCTCAAAAATGTTTGCGCTATCAGATCAACTTATTTGTAAAACATTTCCAATCGAATTCAAAAACACTGGTTTTCAAATTTTTTGGTTTTACAGAGGCGCATCTCTTCGAAAGTTTTAAAAAATACCGAAAATATATTACTTCCAAAGGACAATTCTTTGAGTTACATAAACTTTTTCTGATTCATCCTAGCTATTACTGTTAAGAGTATATTTTCAAAATAGAATGTGTTAAATGCTCTCACTTTACCTCTCTTATTGGTCTTTTAATATTTCAAGAAAAAAAAAATACGTTGAATAATAAAATGAATACTTTATTTAATTTTACCAATTATGGGTAATTTTTCAACTTCAATAATAGCCGAAAGAATTAGCACTAATACTCAGGAGGTTTTCAGTATACAAAATATTTTTCTGTAGAAAATGTTTAAAGTTTCATTTGTAAAACATTCAAATTTGTCACTTATTGCTCATTCGTGTTGCTATTGCTTAACGCAGAATAATCATCCGATATAAGAATGATTATTGGAATGTGTTTATCTAGTTGATTTATGAAATTTGATTAGCGTTATAATGGTAGAGTGAATTTTAAATGTAATAAATGATTAAAATCAGAATGTCTAGATTTCATGAAACTGAGAAAGAATGAAAGAAAAAAAACTAATGTGTTAAATAATATTATGATGATTAAAACAAATAGTTCATAAAAGTTTGCAGTTTTTCTTTTTTTTCTTCGACACATATTTTCTCTTTCTTTCTCGTTTTTTAAGCTATACGTTCTTATCTTCAACGATTTAGTCATTATTCTAATTGTGATTATTGAATTTTCTCATTACAGATGTTTGCACAATAATTGCATATATGCTATAATCGTATACACCAACTCAATCAAAATATGCTCTTGTTGTAGTCGTATGCTTCAGTGAACACTTGTGCCAGTGTGCACTAGCTGCACTGAGTCGATGTTCAATAAACTGGAACTACAGATTTCTCGATAGGAGAAGGAACTTACAAGCCATGAAATGTTTCTTCATGTACAGGATGGATCATAGATACTTTACGATAAAAAGATTTGAATATATCTACTCTGCTCAAAGGTATTGAACTGAGATTTTAATCAATCATAAAAAAAATGTTCAATGTGGTTTTCGTTTATAAGAAAGCAGCAGTGGACGATTGGACCAATCGATCGAGAAATTGTTCACGTTTCAGGAAAAATGGTTCACCCACGGCCTGTCCAAGCGTGACGGAATCACGTTTTTTCCCATGTTTTTGTAATATCTCAATGAAATGAAGTAGTATAAGGCTGAAATATTTACAGTTAATGCAAGTTGAGTTCCTCTACCCATGCTGAAAGTTTCATAGGATTTGAAGTTTTAGTATTGGTTTTATGACTGACACAACGGTCGTGATGGAATCTACACAAAATGGAACTTGACTCTGAGTGCTGTTCAAAGAGTTTAAAAACTTACCTCAACTATAAATGTGGTGATAAGACTCTCTCTACAAAAGTTGTAGCTCAGATGCCTAGCCATATAAAGAAATACAAAAAAATTGCAAAGTGCACATCGTTAGTTTTGTAGACAGAAAAAGGTGTCGTGACGGAATCACGTTTGAGAAATGATAGTGTTTTATCAACGTTTATTTTCTTCAGAAAGTTATGTAAGAAGTATATTATAAATAAAAGACTCGTAATAAATAAAAATCACAAACAAGAGAGTCAGTTTAAAATATTTTTCTAATAGTATAAAATCTCTCGTTTACGAGTATAAAATATAAATAACATAAAAAATTAAAATCGAAAAACGTATTGATCTTTACTTGTTGAGTAACGAGCATATTGGATTACATTTTTGGTGCAAAGCCTGAATGTGGTGTTGTTTTTGAATACCAGATAAATTAACGATGTTGGAAAAGGATTTTTCAAGCATTACTTTTGTAATATCGATTTGTGCTTATCGTACAAATATAGCAGATATAGTTTTTGTTTTTTCTTGGCATATCCTAACAAAATCTTCAGCAGATGAACATCGCTTCCCGACCATAATTTCCAACCAAACAAGCCTTTTTAAAGTGCCTCCAACACCATCGACAACACCTTTTCCATGTGAAGAGGCAAAGTAACTCCAACTAAAATCAATATCTAATACATCAAGCATAGTTGTTAAATGATTAATAATATAACGATTTTTGAATTGACTAGATGCATTATCAGAAAAAAAAATAATTTGTTTTACATCAAGCATCATACTAGCAATTTCATTGACGAGAATTTCTAAACATGTGATAACAGAATATTTATCATGTTTTGTAGAATTAGAAACTAATCCAAAAGAATGGCCATCATCACCACTACCTCCCATCCAAATATAGGCAGTAAAAATTTATATATATTTTTTGGACCAATATGCAGATTGAATTTGCTCTTGATTATCAAGACCAAAATTCTGTGCATAGTCAACTTGACAAACTACTATTTGATAATCAGCATTATCTTTAATATATTCAAAATAACAACTTTGTTTTCTTTTAATATATACATGAGAAAGGTATTGTGGTGCTTTGAGTTTTAATTGTTTTACACATTTTGAAACAGGACCTTGAACAACAAAAATGAAATCAAGAAAAAACATAAGTTCTTTTAATAGAACCGTTCGCAGTACAAAAATAAGTTTTTAACCCTTTGAGTACCAAATTATTTCTGCTGGATTCAATTCAAGAAGACTGTTAGATTAGCTCATTTTAGACAGAAACATATAAACGACTATATATTTCCTTTACAGATAGTTGGAGAGGATTCTAGAGCATTCTTTATTACTTCATTTCAAGGTATTAGACACTAATTTTTATAGATTATATTGTGAGAAATGATTATGAAACATTTGTAGCTTTTTTGCTACTATGGGACACAAAGAGCTAATACGAACGGAATAAAAATATACTGGAGACCCGTCCTTACCAGAGAAATTTTGTTTGACTGCTCGTCCATTAATGTTTATCCATTGATACCAATTAGGAATAGTTTTCCTCAGTATTATAAAAGATATAAAACTTTTCTATTTCATTTAAAGAAGATATTTTCTAAGGTTAATTAGAAGAATCTCGAAAGAAATAGTTTTCTTTGAATAAAAATCTTGTTGTGTTTGTTTTATAGATAAAATTAGAAATTAGAAATT